CGCGATCGTTATAAAGAGGTCTAAACAACAAAACTCATCCACTTGCACATATTTGAGAATCGGAATCAGTGTTTTATGATATAGCTAATACATTTTTGAATATTTTTGATAAAAAAGGAAAAATGACATAAAAGCAGATCATAATTCATCCGCACTCTGTTCTGGTTGTGCTGTGCCACGTGACAAGCAATGACGTGTCACCATGGAAACATTAAAGCGGCAAGTTCTAAATAACAGTCGCCTTGAAAAACTCACGCTGGGGGGTCAGTTCGAATATTTTAAACTTACGTGTGAAAGGGTTAACTATGCCAACATAAATTCAACTTCACAGTATAGGACACCTTTAAAAGAGTGGTTCCCTTAAAAAAAAAAAAAAAAACCCATCCCCATGTCATTCATTCTTCAGTCGAAAAGAAATTAGTGTTTCTAATTAGTCTTTTTAAAAAAAAAAAAAAGTTTTCTAAGCTCAAATGGTCACCATGCTCTGTTAGGGTGTGACATGCGTTTGTGAATCTCCTGTTCGAACTCATAAAACAAAACTTTTCCCGATTCAACTCATTCATTTCATTCGTTGAATGAACCAAATGACACGAAAAAAAGAAAGATTCATTCATTTTGATGAATGAGTTCGAACAGGAGAGTCACGAACGCGCATCACACCCTAAAGGCCTCATTATGCTTCTGCGTAAACTCCACGGCGTAGCTACGTCGTCACTACTATGGCGTCGTGGCCGTTTTATGCTTCTGCGTGAGGTTGTGGTGCTTCGCGGTGCATGTCACCGCCAGAACTCTAGGGGGTTCACGAATCTCTTTGGTTCCGTGCGCCGCAAGCGAAAGAGAGAGAATGTTGTTTTTGCAGCTGCCAGCTGGAGCTAATCGACGTTGAATAACAAGACGGCACAAATAGGGATTGACCGATATGGATTTTTTAGTGCCGATACCGATTTTTTTCCCCATCAGCCTTAGCCGATGACCGATACGGGCTGCCGATTTTCTTGAGCCGATATTTGGAGCCGATACATTTTGCTCCCTCAATTTACATCATAAAAATGACATGACGTTAAGAAATGATACAGGTCTCAATTTAATAAAAGTAACATTTAACTAACTTCAAAAATTAATATTTAACAAATAGTAAAAAAATGAGGTAGAAAAAGAACAAGTAGATAAACAATTGAACAAATGAAGAGTTCAGATGCAAAAGCCTCTAAATGCCATTTGAAATTTTCTTCTTTAATGATGATTTTTATTAAACTTGTATATTTAAGTTCAGTGATTTCACTTAAATAACAATTAATAGGTAATTATCATTGCCATTTAAGTGAAATCACTGAACTTAAATATACAAGCTTGATAAAAATGATCATTCTAGAAGAAAATTTCAAATGGCACTTAGAGGCTTTTGCATCTGAACTCTTCAAATATTAAAAACATAAAGTAGAACAAAAAAAGTTCAGTGCTGAAAATGAATATTTAAGCATAAATTAAATAATTACACTATTGCACACAGTAGCAAGCAGCATAATAAATTGCACAGTGCACACTGTACTTCATTTTAAAAGAAACAAACTATGTACTGCCATGGTTTCATTTTTTTCTACATAAAATAAAATGAGCATGTCTAGTCTGTAATATCACTGCGATGGCGAGGGACACACCACACGCGTCCAAACCTCAACCAGGTGGGCGCTGAATAAATATCCACAAAAAGCACAGAACAACGTTGGCATTACTTAATCCTATGACCAGTGTTCAGAACAGCTACCGTATGCATACTAGGGCTGTCAAAATTGCTCAAATGGCGTTTGCATATTCCCTCTAAAAAACATATTCGAACATCCCTTTGCGCGTTTTGTTGTTGACGCGCATTACGTCAATAACAGGACACATTAATACAAAGAGACATAACTACTAGTATTAGATAGTTTGAGTTAACATATTTGACAACGTATTAAAAAGCAAGTAAATCAACTAATGGCCAAGACTGCAGAGCTCACTCTGTCTCGCACAGGCACTCTCTCTCTCTCGCCCTCACGCTCTCTGCGCGTCGGTTAAATGATCAACAAACAAATGTTGAGTGCTGATCAAGAGTTTTGTGCAAGCAATTTAAGGTTGCGAGTCGCGACTCTTGTCCCAAATATTGCAGGCTTCATTCAGTGATTGAAGTTCACCGACAGTGAGCGCTCCGAGCGACCTGTGCAGCTGTAGTAACGTTATTAGTCTGCAACCGCGGGCGTGTTTTTCCACATTCAAATATTAATTTTCACCTTCAAAATTAATAAATATTCGAATGTAGAATATTCATAGACCGTCCTAATGCATACTGAACGGATAGCCTACACCTAGCTATTTGCAGCTCCCTAATACAATGGCAAGCAGTTAAGTTGTATAGACGAGGCATTCGCGTTTTCCATTTGGACCCACAAACTTGCTTAGTTGCAAGCACATAACAGTTATAGGGCGACGGGTTTCCATTTTCAAAGTGTTTGACAATATTTCAGCAGTCAAACATAAAAGATCCTTTGAAAGTTTAAGTGGGGGAGGGCGGGGCACGTGAACTGCGGCATCTCCAGTAGCACGGAGCTGCCCGTGGCCGCCTGTCTATAAATAACGCCGAAAAAAAAAAAAAAAAAAAAAAAAAACAACTATCGGCGAACGCGCAGCGGTGTATCGGCCGATTCCGATACACGTAAAAACCTCAAATATCGGCCCGATATATCGGCCGGCCGATATATCGGTCGATCACTAGACACAAACTTTATCCCCCACAGAATCAACACGGATGTCCAGGGCTCGTTCCACCCATAGACCGTAAAAGAAAGGTTCCACCCGAGCTGCCATAACGATACCTGTTCGGAATGACTTGAAGGATTTTTTCAGTCTCCACATGGAACTGTGCTATGGCAGGATAATGTGTCCCGTGGCAGACTTGATTAGTACTGTATTATCAATGATGTAACCGTGAACATTGTATTGAAAATAAACAACCGTGTTTCAAAACAAACGTTGATTCATTGATTGAAGTTTATTGCGAGCAAAAAAGAAAGAAAAGAATATAGAAATATATTAACAATGAAATAAAAAAAAAACAGTTTATTTTTAGTTTAATTCTTTATTTACTTTCTTTATAAGAGTATTATAATTATCAGAACGAGGGTGCAAATGTTAAAAATAGCGCTAATAGCGGGAGGGGGAAATCGGAAAAGCTACACTCCTGAAATTATGTATAATCTGACCAATCAAAGCCCTTGCTGTCTGCGTCGCCTCGACGCGTAGTTACACATTTTTGGAGGTGCACGTCAAGCTACGGCGGAGGGGTCGGAGAGGGGTTCGCGTCGACGGATAGGGGTCTGCGGGGGTACGCCGTCGATTCGACGCAGAAGCATAAAACAGGCTTAACAGAGCAAGGTGACCATTTGAGCATATAAAACTTAGTTATTTTTTATTTTTTTAAATGAGCAATCTTTTCGCTAGAAAAGACCCTTATTCATCGTCTGGAGCCGTTTAAAGCCCTTTAAACAGTTCTGAAAGTGTCTTTTGGACCTTGATGGACCTTTGGTTCCCATTGAAATACATTATTTGGAGAAATATGCTGGAATGTTATCAAAAACCTTAATTTCTTTTCAACTGAAGAAAGAATGACATGGATGACATGGGGTGGAGTAAATTATTAGCAAAAGTTTTTTTTTTTTTTAAATGAACTGCTCATTTAATCGGCTATCTTATATTATTCACAGAACACATTTTTAGACGAAATTTGAGTAATCTTTTAGGATTTGCTAATTATGTCACAGATGGGCAAGTCGTACAGTTTTTGTAACATCACTGAAACATTTAAAAAGAAAGAAACATTTAACACTAATCTACATACCTCATCATCAGTGAGTTCTCCAGCCCGCTTGCTCAGATCAATGTCAGCCTTCCTCAGGACCACATGGGCATAACGCCTTCCAACACCCTGTGGAGTAAATGAACAATAAGAAGGCTTGAGAACTCAAACAACTTCACTGGCATTGCGATGCGAAATGGAAGTTGAATTCACTCACCTTGATGGCAGTGATGGCAAATGCGATTTTGCGTCTTCCGTCAATGTTCGTGTTGAGAACACGAAGGATGTGCTGGAACTTCTCTGGAATGACGAGCGACTACGAGAAAAGAGTCACCATGTGTGACAAATACGGTTTAAAAGTCACAGCTTAATTTGACGCAAGTAACGTTAGACAGGAGTTAGTCCAGTCATTTTAAGCCAAAATGGGTCAACCTTGAACAAATTGCAACAGAAGCAAACTCAACTGATTTTGTATCCTTAATATGTCCCGAGTAAGGAAAAAAAGCCCCGAAGAATCCCATTAGGGGAAAGTTTCGAAAAAGACCCAAATATACCCCATTCAATTTGTTCAACCTTTTTTCATAAAATGACTGGACTATTATAATTTAGAACGCTAGTGTTGCGAGGTAACGCTGACGTACAGCTAATGTTTGCTTAAGTTACTGACTAGAAATATGTAAACATGCATTTCTCTAGCTTAAAGTAAAAACTTTTTTTTTTCCAAAAATTTGAATATTCAATATCTGAATAAATCTTCAAAATATTGTGGTAATGATAATGTCATTGTTGGTAAACTTAAACCGGCGCGGACTGAACACGGCTTACTATCATAACACACTTATACGTTAACGTCTATACTGCAACCCTAAAATATCAATTTATATTCTTTCTAAATGCATACAAAACACTTAATGTTGAATCAGTACTAACATAAACACAGAATTACGGACGATGTTACTAGATTTCATGGAAAATCTTGAGGATTTCATTTCATACTCACCATCTTGTTCGCTGGTTCCGCGCAAAGAGGATGTGGTCATGATCTCGCGATAATTTGTACACACGCCGCACGCGATGCAAACTTTGACCAGAGGAACCGATTCCGTCATAATGTACATGTCCGATTGGCAGGTTGAGGAAGATGCTATACAAATCAATACTTTAAACTGATGAAGTTTAAACATATCAAAACGCAGTTATTGATGTTTCGAATGTTTTAGCATATATTTTAGAGCAATTACTCATTTGTAAATAGATTTTTTTATGATGTTACAATGTGTCATTTTTGGGGGATGACCGGAGGGACGGAAATACTGAACGGACCTGTAGTTTTTTTTTAACTACATACGCCATGGCGGAGGCGCTGATAGCTGGAGCTGTTCATACAAACACGCCCGCTGAGTCCATGAGCGGTGCGATGGAGTATTTACAGGATAAGGTGATGATTTTCCTTTATATTATAGCAGCATCTGTGATATTTTTCACTGAGTATGTTTCACTTTGTTTTCACTCGTAAGCGCGTAACATTACGGTTGCTCCGACCGTAATCTAAATTGTATCAGAGCGGATCTAACAACGTTAGAGATAACACAGACAGACATGGCATGCTGTTGTATTTTTAAATATCTAACGTTATCATATTTATTATAATTTCATTAAATATTGTTTTACTGATCGCGACTGGTATTGGCTTAAGCAGGTCTTTATTTCAGCTAACATAGGCCTATATGAAGATGTCAATGTCATATCTAGATCATGTGACGGTGCACATTGATGTGTACAAACCATGGTACAAACCCCACACTTGAATTGATGATTTGTACATTTGAAAAATTATCCTCCGCATTTCTCAAATGGGACTGCCTCATATTGGAACTTTTCTTTTGTTTAAGACATATTTGTTTATATAACTTGACTGGTCTCAAAGCTTCGTACAGCCGGTCCCTCCCTGCTTATGATATTCAGTAGAGCGGCAGGAAGTTCGGGTTGAACACTTAGTGATCAATTCATTTGTTTTTGTTCTGTTAATATTGTTCTCCTCCTCTCAGGTTAACGGTTTTTCTGCATTAATTGCTTGGATTAGTAAGATCTAGGCTACTGTTTAGTTATTATTGTCTCTCCTTGAAATGTGTTGGCAGAAGTCAGACTTTGATGTGGTTCCTCCACTAAATTTGGGTGATCTGGACATCACTACAGATGAGTTCATTCTGGATGAGGTGGACCGTGAGTTCTGTGATTAAGTTTTTATCACTTAAGTAAGGGAAGTGCAGATAAATTAATTCACCATTCGTTAATGAGTTCCCTGTCATTTGTCCTTTTTTAGTTCACATTCAAGCTAATCTGGAGGATGATCTGGTGAAAGAGGCGCTCAAGACGGTGAGATAAAAGTTCAGCTGATGATGTGTGTGTGATCATCATTACGTGTTAAATGTTTTTTTTTTTTTTTTGGGGTGGAACAGGGTGTGGATCTGCGGCAGTACTCCAAACAGGTGGAGACCGAGCTGCAACGAATTGAACAAGCATCAATCAAAGACTGTATCCATAGTGCTGTTTTTAATGGCTTTATATTAGTTCGAAATCAAAAGAAAAAAAAACTTTACTTGACTGTTAATTTGATTACTTTGTGAGATTGACTCTCATATTGATGCAATAACATGTAATGATTTTGCTTATATATTTTTGGGTAACACTTTAATTAAAGGTGGTATAGTTACACATTTCTACATGTACTTACTATAGTAATAACATTATATCATGCGTAGTTACAAGTAACAACCCTAAACCTAACCATAACTCTTTATTAGGTATGTAGTTAATTAAAGGGATAGTTCACCCAAAAATTAAAATTAAGTCATTAATTACTCACCCCCATGCTGCACCAACCCCGTAATACCTTCGTTCATCTTCGGAACACAAATGAAAATATTTTTGATTAAATTTGAGAGGTGGATCACATTGGGACCCTAGGGGATTGAAACTTGACGGCCCAGAAAGTCATTGAAGAAAACGTTATTATTATTTTTTTTTTTTACACAAAAAGTATTCTCAAGTCATTGAAGAAAACGTTATTATTATTTTTTTTTTTACACAAAAAGTATTCTCAGCACTTGATAAACTTATAGTTGAGCATTTTCTTCAATGACTTTCTGGGCCATCAAGTTTCAATTCCCTACGGTGCCTATGTGGTAGTGATCCACCTCTCAAATTTAATCAAAAATATCTTCATTTGTGTTCTGAAGATGAACGAAGGTCTTACGGCGTTGGTACAGCATGGGGGTGAGTAATTAATGACTTTATTTTCATTTTTGGGCGAACTAACCCTTTAATATAACTATGTACTTACATAAGTACTATGTAACCTTAAAATAAAGTGTAACCATATATTTTTTTTTCTCTTTTTTTTTGATACTCTTGTATCAATGCAAATGAAGCATGCTTTATGGTTCAGACTTTTTTAAAACAGTAATGGATATTAATAAAGAACCCTTAACAGTAGCACTTGTGTAGATATCAAAGAGAGTCAGAATATTGCCTCTTTACACAACCAGATCACAGCCTGTGACTCAATACTGGAGGTGAGTGTATTCAGTGGACATTAGCACTTTAAGCTGTTGTGGTTTGCAAACTTTCACCTGCAATTTCATATTGTGAAAAGATATTTTACCATTCAAGAATCTAAAGTTTAAAATAATAAAAAAGTATAATTATGAAGAAAAGCTGCATGGTTTAAAGATTAATTTCAGAATATATTATTATTTATCACTTGTATTCATATTTTAATGTACTGTATTTACTCATCATATAAGTCCTGGAGAATGCTATTAAATGCTATTGGCTCAGATGCATTGAGGGGCCAAAAAAATGTACACGCATGAAATCAGTTCCCATCACCCTATGAAATTAGTTTACTAGCACAGTTTTCTTATTTTGTTGACATACATACAGTACATCTTAGGAAACATGGGCCTTGAAATATCACAGTGTGTGTGCATGTCGGTTTTAATAGTACATTTTTGTAATAGTCCAGCAAAAGATGACTTGCTACTTGCTAATGCTATTCAAAGACGAGGGTTATTTCATAAATCAGGGAAAGGGACATTCTCTTTCAAGACAGCAAAACTTTTGATGTGGTTGTTGATTTGTTGTGTTGTCATATTAAAAATGGCATGTGACTGCACATTTAGACCTGTAATTTGGACAGATGAATTTGAAGCTGCTTACATTTTCTTCTGTGTTCAGCTGTGGTGCTATTTGAACTGAACCGTGCATCTGCTTTCTTTTCTGTCTAGCGTATGGAAGGCATGTTGAGTAGTTTTCAGAGTGACCTGTCATCCATCAGCAGTGAGATTCAGACACTGCAGCAGCAGTCAGTCAGTATGAACATGAGGCTGAAAAACCGCCAGGCTGTCCGCAGTCAGCTCAGCCAGCTGGTTGATGAACTGGTCGTTCCCAGCACCATGATTTCGTAAGGATACGTATTGTTCCAGGGAGATTTTGCTTTACCTTCTTAAATCACAGATTGAAGAACTATATGTGTGTTGCAGTGTGATTATAGACAGTCCTGTTACGGAGCAGGAGTTTTTGGAGCAGCTTCACGAGCTTAACAACAAGATCAATTTTGCTAAAGAGCTCAGCTTCAGAGAGACCCTTGCCTGCTCTGATATACAGGATATCGTTGATCGCCTCAAAATTAAAGTGAGAGCAAATCAAAGATTGACTGGTATAACCCATTCTTGATATAAGAGATGCATGCAAAATTAATGTAATTCAGTTTTCTGTTGCGGAATGATTCTGTTTTGATTCTGTTCATAGGCCGTCTCAAAGATCCGTGAGTTCATCCTACAGAAGATCTACTCATTCAGAAAGCCCATGACCAACTACCAGATCCCTCAGAACACACTACTCAAGTATAGGTACAAAATGCATTCCTCACAAACAAATCCTACTAATGCCGAGTTCAGGCTGCACGATTTTCAAAGTAGTCGGGTCCATGACTATTTTGGCCAGCATTCAGTCGATGCTGTGTTCACACTGCGTGATGGATTGGCGACAGAAGGTTTCACAGCGCATGACATTACAACAGGAAGAATCACTGACAACTCTGTCTGCGCGCAAATACGTTTCACAACAAACACAAACAACGCGACATCGCACGTGCAAGACCAGAGTTCTCACGTGAGACTTTTTCTTTTTCGACCCGGTTGGGGTACAGCTCAGATGAAACGGACACGAGTGCTCCTGCCAAATTTCTACTAATTTTTCTTTCATTTCTTGGGTCCAAATAGGCAGAGAAGAAGCCTTTTTCTGAAACAATGCCATGTTGATATGTGATCTATAACTCCTCCCCGAACTCCCTGCTGCTCTGTATCTTGCTCTCTCATTGGCTGTTGGTAATCGGCATAGTAGTTTTCAGTCAGAACACTTTTTCACACAGCAGGATTTTGAATGGCCGACAGGAAACCAAAAGATGAGGCAAATGGGTGGAACATTAACTTAATTATTCTCCTCAATGCATGTTTAAGCAATAGTACCTAGATTGTACATTAGCGTACTTTAATATCTCTTAAGTCACCACCATTCAGTTCAGTTTTCAGATGGGACCAAACATGACACAATTACATGTTAGAACACACTAGTAAATAAACAATATGTAGCTGAAAGCATATGTCCTGTGTGGTACTGTCATTGAGGTGCAAATGACTCAGAACCATCCTGTGCCTGGAATGTCCCAACAGTGCTCAATCAGCATATTGATGAATCCCTTGCACTAGATTCACATTAGCATACTGTGATTATGAAGGCCATTGTGCCAGATTTAATTCACATGCAAACCTTTAAAAGGATTTCTGAAGTACCAGGGCAGTAAAGAGTTCTACCCATATTCACTTAGCCCTTCACATATTTGTCTGCATACAAGAATTATTGTCATATATGATATATTATAATATATTCAATGAAAGCAAAAAACATTTTTCAAAGGATTCAGAATTGGTCTTTGTCCCTGCAAATTCTTATTCTGCCTTAATATGCTGTGACATTACTTCTTTAAAACAAAGGTTTGTTTCTGACTTCAATGAGAAATTATTATTATTAATATTATTATTTATATTATACAGAATTCTAACAGTGGTACAAAAAACTCTCATCATAATTGTTGACCACTTATCAAAAAAGTTTTGGGTCACACACGATACCCCTATAGTAGGCGAGTAGACAGTAACGGCCCTGGTACTTTCCGGCAGAGCTTTTCACAAATAAATAATATATATAAACAAGTAAATAAATAAAAAATACTGCCATTTCCTGAGACTGACCTAAACACCATAACAGAAATATCTAGAAACAATAATAAATTACAGTCTGTTTAAGATATCTCCACTTTTAACTATGGCCCTTCCTTATTTCTGTTGAGTGAGAAGCACAATAATGAGTGAATGTTTTTCTGGTCATCTACAGATTTTTCTATCAGTTCCTGTTAGCCAATGAGAGGACCGTTGCAAAGGAGATCCGGGACGAGTATGTGGACACCATGAGTAAAATCTACTTCAGTTACTTCAAGTCATACAGCAGCAGACTACTGAAAGTCCAGGTAACAGGCATGGAAGTACACTACAGTTCGCAGTCTTAAAGGGGTCATGAACTGGCTTTTTAATTTTTATTATATTGTTTTCTGAGGTCAACTTATGAAAACTTTCAAAAACATCAAAATGAATAAGTAATAGGCTATTTCTACCCTAGTATTTTCTACTCTAGTTTTGTGCCTAGCTGAAAAATGCTCTGTTGTTATGGGCGTCTCGCACTGAAGACTTGGAAATAAAACGCCCACTGTTGTGAGTGGATAACAGTTTTTCATATTATAATGAGTTTCAACTCACCCGTCGATGCACTTGGGGGAAATTGTTTTGAAAATGTCCAGTGTTGTAAAATGGCAACCGAATGATTCGCCCATACATGTTCGACCTTGAATCTGTGTGATGCACCATTCCTGTCAGATCCAATTTAGAAGGCAGTCCCTCCAGAAAAACGCGATTATGCGATCGCTAATTATCCCGCATATTCCATCGCATTTTTAAAGAAAATGGGCAGCGTAATCAAGGATTTTTGTCCGCAACAATCACAAAAAACTCTGTGTTTTTCTGGAAGGACTGAGAAGGCATAACACCGTTCTTTAATCTTAATCGGTCTGCAAATCCAGTCTTGTTTACAAAACAATCCTCAGCGAACCGACGGACAATGTTTTACCTTATCAGCTGGAACGTCATTAAAAATAAAGTTTATCAATGCAGTCCTATTGGAATCCAGAGGAAGCATATGCAGCGTCTGTCTTCTTCCACAACCAGGCACTGCACAATATTTTCGATCCGGTTTGTCACCACGAGGTAGGCATCTATGTTATTTAGCTATGCGTGTAATGCGCGAAATCGGTGGGCGGGGCTAAACCGGCCGTGTTGAAGTAGGCGTTGATCTTCTTCTGCGGGGGTGGTGCTTTATCCTCTTTGAGGTCATAGTTGCCCACTTTGAAAAACGAGTCGTTTGCTGAGGCTGGTGTCAATAAAAGCTTTTATTGGTCTAACAAGGATATTTTCAGTTCTGAAACTTACAGGATATTCTTATAATATGATGACATCTTAAGGTGGGCGTACACGTTGCGTTTTTCTGCTGTTTAATGACCTCGCAGATGATTTTTTTTCTATCGGGAGAAATCGCGTGGAAAACGGTTGTCCTCGCATGTTGCGGCTCGTGTCGCGTGCTAGGCTAGGAAGATACGAGCTGAGCCGAGAGCCTCTTGACCTCACGATAATTTTTAAACATCAGCTTGAATTCGTGAGGTGTGTGTGTGGTTGAATGAGCCGATTTGTCGATTTATCTTAAAGGAACACTCCGACTTTTTGGGACTTTAGCCTATTCACCTTACCCCCCAGAGTTAGATAAGTCCATACATACCTTTTTCATCTCCGTGCGTGCTATAAGTCTGTTTGACGCACCCACCGCTAGCCTAGCTTAGCACAAAGACTGGATGTGAATGGTTGCAGCTTTCATACTAATCCAAATGAGTGACAAAATAACGCAAACGTTTTCCTATTTACATGTTGTTGTTTGTATAGTCACAGAGTGTGCAAATATCAAGGCCATATGAGACACAGACATCTTTTGACCGTATAAATACTATATTTTCTGAAGGGGAAGCACTGCTACTTGGGCAGAGTGATAACCATCACCTGAGACGAGGAGCAGAGAGTTCGCTTCGCTCAGCGTTGGAATAAAGAGTCAGCAATTACTAACGTTAGATAGAAAAGCAAAGTTTATTATGGGTGTTTGCTTTATTGTATGAGCTGTGACAATAAACAGGGGAGACCAGGTAATACAGTACCATGTTTCATTGATTTCCAACCAAAAACGCACCCAGATTTATAAATATCACATGAATAAATAATTATTATTACAGGAATCAATATATTTTAAATGCAATTTATTAGCTGAACCAAATGTATTCAACAGTAAATACATTTGCCTATATAATATACAGTATTGCATTACTATAGGATAGAATAAGGGGAAAGTAATAGCACAAATTGTTTTTGCACAATGAACTCACAGCCTATCGTGCCCTTTTGCACGCTCAAGTTCGTTATTTCCATGGTTATTTCAAATTTAGGCTACTAGGCGCGCCGCGCGCAGGGTGCAAGTTCAAGTTTTTTTTCCCAAGCGTGTCCGCACTTCATCAAGATAAAAACATATTCATACCCTAATCATATAATAGTGTCACTAACGTTACATTAGCTCTGGCTAAAGGCACTGTTACAGTAGGTCATCTAAAAACATAACGGAACACTTACCTCAGCCGCAGGTGATCCACTTGTCCTGTCTGTGCTATCGATGGGATGGCCGTATCCTTCAGCACATTATGGTCCGTGTGGCAAATTCCATTTTTTCAAAATAGTCGTCCTCATTGAAATGTACCGAGCAAACATAATGTCCCTTGATAATCTTAGGTGTGTTTGGATAAATATCCAGAGTAAGTTAGCCATTTCTTCATCCAGTCAGCGTTTTTAGTTGGAATTCTGTGAAACATGTATTACCTCCCCTGTTTACAGTCGCAGCTATTTACAATAGAGCGAAAACCCATGACTCTAAACTACGCTTTTACTATTTATAAATTGCTGACTCTATTACCCAAACACCGAGCGAACTCTCCGCTCCTCACCACGGCGTGTGTGTCCGGTGATGCGGTTATTACGCCGTCAAAGTAGCAGTGCTTCGCCTTCAGAGAATAGTTCCCAGGTTTTATACAGTTAAAAGATGTCTGTGTCTCATTTGACTTTGTTATTTGTACATTATGTGACTATACAAATCACAACATGTAAATAGGGAAACGTTTGCGTTATTTTGTCACTCATTTGGATTAGTATAAAAGCTGCAACCATTCACATCCAGTCTTTGTGCTAAGCTAGGCTAGCGGTGGGTGCGTCAAACAAACTTATAGCACGCACGGAGATGAAAAAGGTATGTATGGACTTATCTAACTCTGGGGGATAAGGTGAATAGGCTAAAGTCCCAAAAAGTCGGAGTGTTCCTTTAATTTGACTAATCAGGAGCTGAAGCAATCCACAGAAGAAAGATGAAAATGCCATGCCACAGCGAATTTGGACTATTGAAAGGGAATCCAACCACTTTATTATGATTTTAGTATCATAATGATTAATAAATACATGCACAATTATCAGTGAACTTGATAAATGCTGTAGATATGTCAAACAAATGCCTTTCAACTTGTGTGCAAAATTGAATGCATGTGCAGCGATTTGTCCAAATAGAGTCTGCATATTTTTTGCCATAATAAGCGCATTTAGTTTCATATTTATTATGTTTTTTTACCTATCTATGTTGATTATGAAAAGTAGCCTAGATTATATACGCAATATATCGGGAGACATGGCCAGACATGATTTTGACCTTCATTACGTGTTGGTTTGTAGAAAGAATTTTGGGGTTTTTTTTATAAATTGCATCTTTATTTTAATACAATTTACAATACAATTTATTTTAATACAAAATACAATCAATCAACCATTTGCCTGGATTTAATTAATAAGAAGCAAATATAGCTGGATTTACAAATTTACATCTTGATTTTCATATGTGCACGCGCACATATGTTGAAATAACGACATAACTGTCGAATTGTCCTTGTTGGATACTGACCGTTAATAGAAAGAGATCATTGTCACCAATTAGGTGAACACTAATTCCCCAGTATTTAAAAAGCAGATTTTTTTATCAGGGTTTTTGGCTTCATGCGATTTCTTCGGAATTCAGCAGGTGGCAAGGTCAGCTTTAGATGTCAAAAGCTCAAGGAAAATTTGATTTCTCAGTTCATCACCCCTTTAAAGAGCAAGAGTTTTCCAAAACCTTTGATCAGATTGGTTTATTTTACGTAATTTCCGGGAGTCAGCACATACAGGTATAGCTCATAGAGAGAAAAAGTGAAGAGAGAAAGTTTGTTGTACCGGCAAGTTCCACTACAATGAGAACTTTTGACGTCACTTTTTTTTGTGAGATGTTAGAAGTTTTGATTGAGATGCTTAGTAACAAGTAAACAAGATTTCCTCGTACATGCATGTACTGTATAATCTGCTGTAGTGTCTGATTTAACATCTGCTTACCACTAAAGCTCATGTAAAAAAGCAAATTATGACTTGTCACTTTAAATGCTGCTTGAACAATCACTTTCTGTCTAACTGGGTGGTTTTGGGCCAAAATAAGCTTCATCTACTTCTAGAAGTTTGACTACATGAAAATGCCACACCACTAATCCACTCTGTTTAGTTTTGGTCCTGGATGTTCATTGGTTAATCAGCTTTCTATTTATGTGATATAGTAACAGCTTTATGTATCTTAAAGCTTTTATCAAATTTAGATATTTAAATTAATATAAATAAATAAACCGCTTTAATGTGGAGCAAGAGATTCAGACTTTATTGCTTCAGATATATCACTGTCACTTTACTCACCACTGATTGGTCCATTTTTGGTTTGCAATATCATATCTAGTATAAGATCTGCTCTGGAGCAGTTTATCTGTGTAGCGCAAGTTATGTCAAAGAACAACACCAAAACCAATCCACCTTCTTGAGCCTGAAAATCCATTGTTTTCTCAAACTAGACTCAAATTTACCACTAAAACTGGATTCATAGAACAAGCCACTGTTCAAAACATCACTGCAGAGCACCAATACCAAAGCCATTGTTAACCTTAGTTGTTATGATAAGGTACAGTTAAAACTATAATATACAGTAGGGCTGAACGATTTTGGAAAATAATCTAATTGCGATTTTTTTTTAACCAATATTGCGATTTAATATGCGATTTAAAAAAAAGTTATTTACCTTCTGTATTAGTCGACAAAGACAAGCAATAAATCATTGTACAGTAGGGATGGGAATCTTTAGATAGCTCATGATCCGATCTACTTTTTTTCTTATTAATTAATCTTAATAACTCTTAAAATATGTATTTAATTACATGTGTAAAAACACATACTTTAAAAATAAATATATAAAAAAACATTTAATTAAACCAATTACATGTTAAGAATTTTAAATAGGCTATATAAAATAATATAGCTTCAAAATATAAAAGCTAGCTAATAAAGAGAAACAAACAAAAAAAAAACATTACAAGCAATAAACAAAGAGTGGTCTCAGTATTTAAAAGTAGGCTGTCTGAATGTTTTTCATTCAAGAGCTGGAGTGATTTCCCCTGACGATAAGCTGCATTCACACTAATGCATATATCTCTTTTGAAATTGTAAATGTGGTTTGTCCTGTTGGTTTAAGATATAACTGACAGTGTTTACATCAATTTCGCGTCATAAAAGCATTTTGACATGCAAGTACATTTACCAATGAGTCGCTCACGGCCGCACGCACGAGAGCTCTTCACAAAGCACGCGTTAGTATTTTAAAATGAAAGCAGCCTTCTCAGTGATTTTCATGGTTTTAATATAAGCCAACAGCATTCCAAAAGACATAAATAATGCCTCTGTAAAGCATTTGTAAAGAAAATACCCGCGGAAGAGAACGCGCAGTCACGCACTGCAAGTGTAACGTTATAACATCGAGCAAAGCGGCAAAACCTGTTCAATGAAGCCCGCGAATGTCCTTGTAATTTGGTTCAACCCCGACCTTTATAAAATAACGTTACTATGTTTTGGAAGGTTCGAGCGGTGTCGTGTGTGTGTGTGAGTGAGGAAGAGAGAGAGCGAGAAAATAGAAGCAAGCAGATTCAGAACAAAAGCACGCGCAGCGTCATCACGCATGTGTGTTTAAAAACTAAACTCATACTCGATTCTGAAATTCTCTAAATCGATCCAGGATTGTTGAGGAGAGGAGAGAATAAATAACACAATAAACTGTTCTTTTCTGGACGCCAGACCGCGTAGCGTGGCAAGTTGATGCTTTATCTTGCAGACTGCTTTTCTCTCGCGTGTCAAGTGACCAGTGTAATCGCAGCTCTTGCGATTACAAAATCGCGTTTCATCATATCGCGATTGTATCGCAAATGCAATTAATCGTTCAGCCCTAATATACAGTATAAAAGCAAAGACACACTCAAGGTTGTGCTATATTGTGCTTGGCATGATCCTAATCTTTGTTTCTAAAACATATGTCTCAATTTATCTTGTGTTTGTTCTTTCTCTCTCTCCTTTTGCCAGTATGAAGACGTTGCAGACAAGGATGATCTGATGGGAGAAGAGGATACAGCCAAAAAAGATATCCTTTAAATTTATATCTAATCACAATCACATAATATTAGCATGCCAAATTACTTATTTAAATTCAACAAACATACTTGCTTTTTTTATGTTTATTTATTTATTTCAAGGTTTAACATGGTCCACAAGTGCGACCACATATAACTATGTACAAGACCAGGGTTTGCTTGTACTTAACAAATAAAATACACATAAACATGTATATTAATAAGTTAGGGGGTGGAATAACAATACCAGCACAGCTCCAGGATTACCACTGCTCCTCCTTGAAAACGCTCAGAAGTAATCAGTACGGGTGATCTATTGAGTTATGATATGAGATAGCTTTGTAACAAATTCAGTCCTGGCCTTAAGTGTTTGGTTTGGCTTTGTTAATTCTCGCTGTAGTAAGTTCTAATAGTGCAATGTATTTAACTTCTATGAGCCACAGTTTACCTGCTGGAATTGTAGGCTCATGCCAAATCTTGAAGATAATCTTTTTGGCTGCAGTTAGAGCAGTGTGAAGAATCCTATGCTGGCTAACAGTCAGATCAAGATCTGCATCATCATTTAACAAACAGAGACTTGGGGGCTTAAGGATTACCTTATCACATAGTTCTGACACGACTTGAAATACCTCATCCCAAAAGTTACCAATATGTTGGCATTCATAAAACATTTGCATACAAGTACCCACAGTGTTTGAATTACAGAGTGAGCAGAACAGGGTAGGCAAGCGCTTCATTTTGTGCAAGATGTTTGGAGTAGCGTAAGCCCTATGAAGAAGTTTATAGTGTATTAACTGATGGGCAAGATTTTTTGACATTGTTGGAGTAGTGTCCCATATCCAGTCCCAATTTAGTTTGCAAGGAGCTAATTCCTTTTCCCATATTGTGGTGATAGGGAGCTTTCCGCAGTTGTGCTTGAGCAGTCAGTTGTAAATGAATGACGCTGCTCCTCGTGTCTGTGAAAAGTTCACACTGTCCATCAGAGGGTGAGAGTCCAAGTTACAGTTCCATGGCACTCTATAAGCGTGCATTTGCGCTTCTCAACCTTAAATACAAAAAGTAGGAATGTCCAGGCAGATTATAACACTCTGTCAGATCTTGAAAAGACCTTAATCCCTGATTATTGAATATGTCACCAAAAGTATGTACACCTTGATCCGACCATGGCTTAAAAACAAAAGGTCTGTTGTCGGATTGCAAATTATGATTATACCAGATCGGCGATTCAGATGAGAACTTAGATGAACTTCCCATGAATTTGCATTTGCACACTTCATGCCAAATTTTAAGAGAATTGTACACAATTGTATTCCCAAACTTTAATTCTTTCTTTGATAAACCCGTGAATAAAATATCCTGGAGCCGATGAGGAAGCACAGCTGATGTTTCCACTTCCCGCCAGGCGATCTGTGAGTCAACCTGTAACCAAATCTTGAGCAAGCGCAGCTGACATGCCCAAAAGTACAATTTTAAGTTCGGAAGTGACAAGCCTCCTTTGCAATGTTGCGAGTTTAATTATTGGTCGTTTCTTATTCCAAATGAATTTTGTAATCAAGGAATTCATCTCTTTAAAAAAAGGTTATACGGGGAGATTCAGAGAAAGGAATCATGGAGAACAGATATAAAAGTCGAGGGAGGATATTCATTTTAATGATTGCGATTCTGCCTTGCAGTGAGACTAAAATAACGTCCATTCTCTGTAAATCTCGCCTGATAGCAGTAAATAAAGAACTATAATTTTCTTTAGAGATAGTCTGCAGTAATGGAAAGATCTGATTTCCCAGATATTTAAATGCCTTACTAATTGGGATCGAGGAAGACGCTAATGCAGTATTTGTTGACGCAGACAGGGGCATTAATACAGATTTTCCCCAAATAATTTTGTAACCACTTAAGATGCTAAAGTCATTAAATATTTTAAGACACTGAGGTAGAGAAGAGGAAACATTAGACATGTAAAGAAAAAAATCATCTGTGAAAAGAGAGATAGAATGCTTGGAGTCGCCAACAATAATCGGGGAAATAATATGGTCCTGCCGAATTGCCTGCGCTAAGGGCTCTAATAAAACTGCAAATAACAGGGGCGATAAAGGGCAACCCTGTCTAGTGCCTCTATTCAACGGGATAGCATCCGAACAGCACAAACTCGTTGAAACCCGCGCGGAAGAGTTACCATAGAGAGTCTGAATCATATGAATAAAACGAGGGCCAAATCCAAAACGGGTTAAGACAGACCATAAATATGTCCACTCGACCCGGTCAAAGGCTTTCTCCGCGTCTAGTGAGAGGATAGCGCGTTGTTCATTAACCGGGTGGGGTGAGTCGATGATGTTCAAAAGGCGTCGCACGTTATCTGTAGCAAAATGTTCCTTAAGAAATCCTGTCTGGTCGTGGGCGATTAGGGAGCTGGCAACTGATCCCAAACGGTGGGCTAGAACCTTAGCATATAACTTGACATCCGTACCAATTAGAGAAATTGGCCTGTAACTAGAACAGCATAAGGGTTCTTTCCCTTTTTTCTGTAGAAGAGAAATAAGAGCGGTTTTCTGATCTCTATGGAAACAACCTGTATCAATAGCAAAATTTATGGAGTTAAGGAGGAGCGGTCCAATCAAATCCCATATCGCCAGATGCAGCTCTGGGGGTAAACCATCCAGACCAGGGGCTTTACCCTTATACATAACTTCTAAAGCCTCCTTCAGTTCATTTAATTCTATTGGAGAATCAAGAAAAGCACATTGCTGCTCGCTTAATTGGGGTAGTTCTAAATTTAACTGAAAATCAATGACCGGTTGTTCATTCACTCCCACCTCAGACTTGTATAGATGCTCATAAAATTCCTTGTAAATCCTATTTACATCACCCGGAGCTGTGTGAAGAACATCTGCTTTGTCCCTAATGGCAGTTATTGACGCCATTAGTTTGCCTGGCCGTTCTCCATTAAAATAGTAATTTTGTTTGGTACGGTGAATCAAAAATTCTACCCTTTTTAGTAAGATCGCCTTGTAGTCAGTTTTTAAATTCGCCAGGATTCTGCTTTTCTGTTCCGTAAATGTTTTTTAAGATCCTTCTCTACACATTCAATCTGAGCCTCTAGACGGGTTCATTGTTTTACTCTGGATTTATTTACATAGGAGGCAAAAGAAATACAATTTCCTCTTAAAAAACACTTGGTTGTTTCCCATAGGATCTGTGGATTAGTAGCTGAGCTCGAATTTTCTTTGAGAAACAGAGATAATTTAGAACGTAACTGTTTTACAAAATCTTCATTTTGAAAAAGAGTTGTATTTATACGCCACCTTTTGGAGCTTAGGGGAATTATCGGAGGAGATAGATTACAAATCACAGTGGCGTGATCTGAAATCAGTATGGGTAAAATATCAATATGGTTTACACCATGAGTAAGAGATTTAGAAATCAGAATGTAATCTAGCCTCAAAAATGATTTATGGCGTGCAGAATAAAAAGTATAGTCTCTACCGCTCTCATTCTTCACTCTCCAGATATCACAAGTCGTTATCAGCAATGAGATCGTTTAACGACTGCGAAGCCTGATCGCCATGAACAGAGACAAGGGATCTATCGATTAATGGGTTCCAAACTGCATTAGCATCTATTCCTTCGACCAGGTTGTAGTCGACAAAATTAAGGAGGGATTTGGTAAGAGATGGAAAAAAATCTGCATCATAGTTATTAGGGGAGTATACTGAGAAGAGAACCAATTTCAAATTATTCCATGAACCTGACACATATGTAAACCGCCCGTTTTCATCCCCTCCCGATTTCTCTATTAGAAACGTGAATTTTCTGTTCTGAAGAATAATAACTCCTCTTGATGCACTATTATACGATGAAAAAGCTATCACTTTAAAATGTCTATTCTGAAAGCGGGTAACATCAGGAGCCTTGAGGTGGGATTCTTGTATTAGGACCATGTCAGCTCGTTTGCGATGGAGAAGATCTAGGCATTTGGATCTTTTCAGGGGAGAATTTAAACCATTGACATTCCACGATATCACAAGTCCCTCATTCTGTCACAATATAATTATACATGAGGCAGAGGTAGCCATAGTAACCGAACGCATCATTAAGAATTTCACCCCAAAACAACACAAATAGTACAACAAAAACGGCAAACCCTGGTAGTTCTAACATTGCAACCTTAATGGTTAAATACAATAAAAAAAACAAAAAACAAACAAACAAATTACTATCGGCAGCTTGCAGAGAGAAAGAACACCCTCTCTTATCTGCCTGGAAAGCAAATTTAGTCGAGGCCATGCACTCGGACTATGGGTGGCAACAGTTACTCAAGCATCAGCATCTCTGTCCATCACAGCGAAAATTAAACCTATATCCTTACTCAAAGTGCCATAATACAAAACAAAGAAGGCTGAATTTACTCATCAGGCATCCCTGTCGGCGTGGTGATGTCCATTTCCGTAGTGGCGCTCAGAGATGCGATGAAACGCTCCAGGTCTTCGGGGGTTTTGAAGAACAATTGCTCCTGGCCGTTACGTACTTTGACCGAAGCAGGGTAAAGCAGGAATGACTCGATGCCTAGTTGCTGGAGGCGTTTCCTCGCTTCGGACATAGCTTTCCTTTTTTTGGACGTTCCCTGGCTAAAGTCAGGATAGAACCTTAAATTACCCCCTTCATAACTCAGAGGCGGTGCACTTCTGGCTCCCTGTAGGATCGCCTGTCGGTCATTGTAACGAAGGAGTTTGAAAATCAAAGTGCACCTTCTATTCCTGGAGGGATCCTCGTTCGCGTAGAGGCGGTGCGCCCGTTCAATCTCGATCGTCTTCCCTTGTAGAGCTGGAATCCACTTGGGAATATGGGTCTGCAAGAACCGCAGGCCCACCAACCTTAGGTTATTTTGTCTGGATTTATCTTCATAAAGAAATAGTTTCTCCTGGAGCTCCTCTAGGCAAGTCTTGTTAGCAATCGAGTCCCTTTTAACATCCCGCACCGAAGCCTGGATGTTGTCACATCTATTGCCGAACGATTTTTCCAGCGATTCCAATCGTGCTGTAATCGTCGACATTTCCTCACGAACGATCGTCGACATACTTGGTTTTATGGCGCTCAGTTGCTTATCAAGCATTTCGGCAATGGCGTCGTGAAGGTACTCGTCGTCTTTATAACTTTTCTTCGCCGGGGAGTGGATTAAATCTCATTTGGATGCCATCTAGAGTGCCACTAAAACAAGGAATTTACATAAAATTCGGCCAAAAACTTCGTAGGAATAGATAAATCCGAAAGAAAAAAAGACAAACTGAGGGAGAGCGTCGATATTAGGCAGCCATGCGCATGCGCATCCCAAACATACTTACTTTTGAGTTTGGTAGAGAAATGCATTTGTTTTTGTACCATTGTAATGTGGTTGATTTCTTTAACTTCTTCGCAGGTTTTTTCTCCAAGCCTTCTTTCAAGAGTAGGAACACTATTTTTACTCTTGGCCAGAGGGGGGAAGTACTGAACCCTACAGAGCTGGAGGGGCCCATACTCATCCCACACACTGCTCAGAGAGGAGAGTCCAGAGTGAGACACTATTGCTTTATACCACATTACAGTTAATGCTACCAATACTTGATTTCAACAAATCTATCCTTAAGAATTAAACTTAAAGGGTTAGTTCACCCAAAAATGAAAATTAAGTCATTAATTACTCACCCCCATGCTGTACCAACCCCGTAAGACCTTCGTTCGTCTTCGGAACACAAATGAAGATATTTTTGATTAAATTTGAGAGCTGTATAACTACCACATTGGCTCCTAAAGGACTGCCTCTTGACGGCCCAGAAAGTCAATGAAGAAAATGTTTAAATATCCCAAGTGACTACCGTGGCTCAACTATATGTTTATCAAGCGACGCGAATACTTTTTGTGCGAAAAAACAAACAAAAATAACGAGTTTATTCGACTATTTCTTTTCTTCCTTGTAGGCCAGAACGAGACTTCCTTAGATTTCCACGACGCATGCGCGAGAATTGCGATCTGAAGTGGTGTAAGCTGGTGTGAGCAGATCGCAAATCTCGCGCATGCGTCGTGGAAATCTAAGGAAGTCTCGTTCTGGCCTACAAGGAAGAAAAGAAATAGTCGAATAAACTCGTTATTTTTGTTTGTTTTTTCGCACAAAAAGTATTCGCGTCGCTTGATAAACATATAGTTGAGCCACGGTAGTCACTTGGGATATTTAAACATTTTCTTCATTGACTTTCTGGGCCGTCAAGAGGCAGTCCTTTAGGAGCCAATGTGGTAGTTATACAGCTCTCAAATTTAATCAAAAATATCTTCATTTGTGTTCCGAAGACGAACGAAGGTCTTACGGGGTTGGTACAGCATGGGGGTGAGTAATTAATGACTTAATTTTCATTTTTGGGTGAACTAACCCTTTAAAGGGCACCTATTATGGAAAATTCACTTTTACATGGTGTTTGTACATAAATGTGTGTTGGCAGTGTGTGAGCAAAACCACCCTAGAATGATAAAAATTCACCCAGTGGTTTTTTTACAATCGCAGTAAATCATATGCACTGTGTCAGAACGAGCTGTTCTAAGATTCAGCTCTTTGTGACGTAGAATTGAGCAAGGGGTTTGATTGACAGTGTGGTTGTGGCATAGACCCCGCCCTCTGTGATCTGTACACATCATCCTCCATTGTTTCAACGACAGCCAGTAATGTCTCTTGGAAACGTAAACGTTCTGTCGTGAGTTAATCCTGTTGTTGTGGCTTAAAAGTTAATCCTCAACTGTGGATCGTCATCTACTGTTTGCGATCCACCGTCCCCTCCAGTAACAGTAAGTGTATTTTATGATTTTTGAGCAAATAGTCTTTTCAGTCAATGTCAGCCAATTCAACAACAAATGCGTCTAAAGTTGTTGTCGTTGTAGGATGTCTGTGTAGGCTATATAATTTAAACCTTTTTTGTATAGTGTGTAACCACACGTTTACAGTATAAATATATATATATATATATATATATATATATATATTTAAAGATATTGTATTAACTGCATATATGTTGTTGTTCTGTAAGTTAGCCATCTTCTCACATTTGCCACAGAAGCACCTGTATGAGAAGTAAACATGACGCAACAGGTCCCTCGCATAAATGTAATTTCGCTTGTACGAAGCAAACTTTATCACAGAATGTGTATGTAGTTTCTAAATATTGCGCCAGCTTCAGTGTTTGTGTGTGTCTGTGTGTGTGTGTTGCACATCCGGACGCGATTACAACTCTATAAGTACATAAATGTATCAAATAACCATACCGAGACGTACTGCTCCATTCTCATTTATGTTTATTCTGCCGGAGTCTCTTCGTACTATTTATATATTTCGATTCAAACGTACGCTGAATGACATTCAAAACAGCGGTTTCTCTCACTCTCTCAGTACCGACTGCCATAGGTATCAAGTTACGCCCTCATCCAAAGGCAGGGTGGGGATATGCAGCTCATTTGCATTTAAGGTGGTATAGTCCCCGAAACAGCTCATTTTTAAGCAGGCCCCAAAATGGCATTTTCAAATGGTTATAATAAATTAACTATGGGGTATTTTGAGCTGAAACTTCACAAATACATTCTGGGGACACCCGAGGCCAATATCACATCTTGTAAAAAGGGGCATAATAGGTGCCCTTTAAGCAAACTCTTCCAGCATTGTCTGTGCTATGGGCGTGAATAATATTTCAGATTATGGTTCAGTGTTACTTTTCTTAGTTATAAGACATAAGTGTCGTGACATACCGTTATTGACGAAAATCATGGTACTTTGAAATAGGGCTGGGGTAAACGATTATTAACTAAACGATTAGTTGGGCGATTATTTTATTGATTAGTCGGCTAATCTAATGACTAATTGGATGACTAATATAAAGAATATTTTTCTGCTGCTCAATTAATAAAAAAAACAATGTATCTCAAATAAATACTAGCATACTGAATCAAGATACTATAAGCTGGCTAACGTTGGTCTAATGTTATGTATTTGAACACCATCATTATAACTCTACAACCGCCAAAACCGTGTTATTAAAATATTTTTTTACCAACATTTTTTTATCATAGAGAATGTTTAAATATTAATATCAGCTGAGGAGGGAAACGGAGGCAGAGTTAGTTGTGCGATCGGAGGCTGCTACTGCTGGAGATGAATCGGGAGAGGTTTGTGCACCTACTGATCAGAGCGCGTGCTGACACGGAGTAAAGCCTTGTTCATACTCGACACGTCTGCACGAGCGCGAATGTGCGCACAGCAAAAATGGGTGCGCAAGACCAGGAAGACTGTGGCTGGATGTGTGTACACCTTTTTTTTTTGTAACAGCGCGCGCGGCGCCGCGTCCTGGATGAACGACTTCAAGCCGAATCTGCTTGAGCTTGTACGTCTCACCACACAGAGTTTGTGCTTCTAAATTGCAAAGTTCTTTTTTTTTCTTAAGGGTTTGTTTACTGTGTGTGATTCATTTAATGGATCGCACATTCACTTCTAGTTGTCTTGTCTTTGTCCTCTATTCTGCAATGTTTCGGTCTCCCACGTGTGTGTGTGTGGCAAGCTGTACCGCCGGGAACATGCAAAAAATAAATAAATTAAGAAGCGTTGACGCAAAAATATGACGTCGGCGCAATTTTGACGTCGAAGCATCGATGTCATCGAAGCGCCGCTACAGCACTACTTTAAAATTATCATCACGATAATTAGGGATTTCACAATATACCGGTATTGGCAATAACTGTAATATTTAAAATTAATAGTACACATATGAAAATGGATGACGTAAATAATCCAGTGCCAGTATCTGGTTAACATCCTAACGTACTGCTTTTTTTTCTTTGCATGATTCTGTTTATGGGGTGCAATATAACATGTATTCGTGGTTTTTCTTTTTTCAAAAGTCTTATTTTTCATAAACGTATCCCTTTATTGTAAGCCGCACTCTCCTCTGTCCCCAGAACGACTGGTTGACTTCCTGAGTCTATGAAACCACTCACTCAGAAACAGGCAGTGGGCTCAGATTGGTTAGTTTGGGCCGGTGTGTGGTGATTTGCTAAACTGTCGCTCACGTTGTCCGGAAGGTTAACGCCCATTACCTCCAGATGTAAATAATGGTGTCGAACTGCAGTATCAGTTTGAGGCAGGTGTTTACATCTTGTGAAATGGTCTATACATGAAAATACGTTTAAAACATTAGTACTTTTACAAAATTCTGGTCCATAATGTTGGTACACGTTTGTCGTATACTAGAGCTGTCACGATAACTACTTTTTGTTGTGCGATATATTGCACCAAAATTAATTGCGATAAACGATATTATTGTCATTTTCAGACCATTTTATGCCACTGATTACCTATGACAATATAACAGCATTATAATGCAACTACACTGTATTCTTATTCTATTCAATATTTAGACATTGTGAAATGTGGAAAAAATATATCCCAAATAAATAAAACAAGTAGCCTAAATAAATACACATTCGTTAAAAAAGTGTCAGGTATCAAAAACTAGATCAAAACAAAGAAATATGTCAATTTAAACTTTTAAAGTGTCTCACACAAAGGCACAGATGCATCAATATTGTTCTTTCTATCTAACTAATCTATCCATCTTTCTTTCTAACTAATCTATCTTTCTTTCTTTCTACATAATCTTTATTTCTTTCTTTCTAAGTAATCTATCCATCTTTCTTTCTAACAAATCTATCATTCTTTCTTTCTACCTAACTTATATATCCATCTTTCTTTCTAACTAATCTATCCATCTTTCTTTCTTTCCCTCTACCTAATCTATCTATCTGTCTTTCTACCTAATCTTTCTTTCTTTCTTTCTTTCTTTCTAACAAATCCATCTTTCTTTCTAACAAATCCATCTTTCTTTCTTCCATTCTAACAAATCCATTTTTCTTTCTTCCAAACAAATCTTTCTTTCTTTCTTTCTTTCTTTCTTTCTTTCTTTCTTTCTTTCTTTCTTTCTTTCTTTCTTTCTTTCTTTCTTCTTTCTTTCTTTCTTTCTTTCTTTCTTTCTTTCTTTCTTTCTTTCATGATTCTAATAACATGTTAATCATGCTAGCTACATGTTAATCATGTTAGCTTCTTGCTAAAAACATGATAGCATGTTGCTAACAACATGCTAATCATGCTGTCTTCATGCTAATCACGTTTGCTTCTTGTTAAAACATGCTAGCATGATGTTAGCAACATGCTTATCATGCTAGCATGATGCTAGCTACATGTTAATCATGTTAGCTTCTTGTTAAAACATGGTAGCATGTAAATTGTGTTAGCATGATGCTAACAACATGTAAATTGTGTTAGCATGATGCTAACAACATGTTAATTGTGTTAGCATGATGTTAGCAAAATACTAATTGTGTTAGCATGATGCTAGCAACATGTTAATTGTGTTAGAATGATGCTAGCAACATGCTAATCATGCTAGCATGATGTTAGCTACGTGCTATTTGTGCTAACATGATGCTAGCAACATGCTAATTGTGCCAACATGATGCTAGCAGCATGTTAATTGTGTTAACTTGATGCTAGCAACGTGTTAATAAAGATAGCATGATGCTAGCAACATGTTAATCATGTTAGCATGATGTTAGCAACATGCTAATCATGCAAGCTTCTTGTTAAAAACATGCTGGCATGATGTTAACTACATGCTAATAATGCTAGCTTCTTGTTAAAAATATGTTAGTCTTTCTTTCTTTCTAAGTAATCTATCCATCTTTCTTTCCATCTTTCTTTCTAACAAATCTATCATTCTTTCTTTCTACCTAACTTATCTATCCATCTTTCTTTCTACCTAATCTATCCATATTTCTTTCTTTCCTTCTACCTAATCTATCTATCTTTCTTTCTTTCTTTCTACCTAATCTTTCTTTCTTTCTAACAAATCCATCTTTCTTTCTTCCAAATCTTTCTTTCTTTCTTTCTTTCTTTCTTTCTTTCTTTCTTTCTTTCTTTCTTTCTTTCTTTCTTTCTTTCTTGATGTTAATAACATGCTAATCATGCTAGCTACATGCTAATCATGCTAGCTTCTTGTTAAAAACATGGTAGCATGATGTTAATAACATGTTAATCATGTTATCTTCATGTTAATCATGTTAGCTTCTTGTTAAAACATGCTAGCATGATGTTAGCAACATGCTTATCATATTATCATGATGCTAGCTACATGTTAATCATGCTAGCTTCCTGCTAAAAACATGGTAGCATGATGCTAACAACATGTAAATTGTGCTAGCATGATGCTAGCAACATGCTAATTGTACTAACATGACGTTAGCTACATGTTAATCATGTTAGGTTCTTGTTAAAGCATGTTAGCATGATGTTAGCTACATGCTAATCATGTTAGCTTCTTGCTAAAACATGTTAGCATGATGCTAACAACCAGGGCCTGAAGTTAATTTTTTCGGCCACCGGCCACTGTGGCAGGTGGATTTAAAAATTCACCTGCCAAAGAGACTTTTTACCAGCCATTTTTTTTTGCCTCATAAACGTAAAAAAAAAAAAAAAAAAAAACCCAGGAATTTCACAATATTGTTCTTTAACTTGTAAGAATACACATTTAAGTGCTGTCAAGTAATAATAACTCTAATAACATACATTTTTTAAAAAAAAATCTTTTTATTCCTTGATTTTGACAGACACACACACACACAACATATATAGTATAGGCTAGACCTACCGCAGCTCGTAAACAAATCACACGCGGCTGTGTTGATGGCGGATTTAGTCACGTAGGTCTTACTCTTAACAGCTTTTAGTTACAGCGTTCAGGAACGGTTAAATATGAACTAAATTGATACTGTTATTACTGATAAAATTACCGGGTACCGGACATTTTCTCACCGGTTCCCAACTCCCAACATGCACATTGCACACGCACACACATCTGTGCAACTGTCATTGTACTTTAACCTACAACAGCGACGCGTTACATTATCTCATCCCATCTCACCAACAGTTTACTACTCGCACACGTAGTCAGAAAAAGAGCCTCATCTTCTTTCTGATCGCATGAACGTTACGAAACAACAGTCGCTGTCATAAATCAGCCGCTCACGAACCTTGCCATTGCCGCCGATTGTTCACTTTGTATTAAAATGTCTTCTTTACTTTTCTTTTTCTCATCCTCATCTTTTTGTTGGCTGTTTTGTTTCAGCTGGCCTCTTTACCCCAGTAATGTGCCGCCACATTTTAGCTAAAGTCAAACGCAATAGCGGACTTCGTTGAAATGTAAAAATCCTATGAATCACTCACAATTATCATTGGCTACCTGCCAATGTGGCAGGTAGATTGACAGTGTTACCCGCCAATAGCAAAATTCACCCGCATTTGGCAGGTGGTCGGGTGTTAATTTCAGGCCCTGCTAACAACATGTAAATTGTGCTACAACATGTTAATTTTGCTAGCATGATCCTAGCAACATACTAATTGTGTTAGCATGATGCTAGCAACATGCTAATCAATTCTAGCATGATGTTAGCTACGTGCTAATTGTGCTAGCATGATGCTAGCAGCATGCTAATTGTGCTAACATGATGCGAACAATTTGCTAATTGTGTTAACTTGATGCTAGCAACATGTTAATCAAGATAGGTTGATGTTAGCAACATGCTAATCATGTAAGCTTCTTGGTAATTGTGCTAACATGATGTTAGCAACATGCTAATAATGCTAGCTTCTTGTTAAAAAACATGTTAACATGATGCAAGTTGAATGCTAATCATGTTAGCTTCTTGTTAAAACATGCTAGGAACCTGTCAATTGTGCTAGCATGATGTTAGTAACATGTTAATCATGCTAGTTACATGTTAATAATGTTAGCATCATGCTAGCTAACTGCAAATCATGCTAACATCATGTTAGCTACATTCTAATCATGTTAGCATCATGTTAGCTACATGCTAGCATGATGTTAGCTACATTTTAATCATGCTAGCTTCTTGTTAAAAACATGTTAGTATGATACTATCAACATGCTAATTGTGCTAGCAACATGCTAATCATGTTAACAACATGTTAATCATCGTATCTACATGTTAGCATCAAGCTAGCTACATGTTAATCATGTTAGCTTCTTGGCAAAAACATCTATCTGTCTATCTATCTTTCTTTCTAACTAATCTATCTTTCTTTCTATCTATCTATATATCTATTTATCTAAACTAGCTTTTTTTTTAAACTTCCTTTCTTTCTTTCTTTCTTTCTTTCTTTCTTTCTTTCTTTCTTCTTTCTTTCTTTCTTTCTTTCTTTCTTTCTTTCTTTCTTTCTTTCTTTCTTTCTTTCTTTCTTTCTTTCTTTCTTTCTTTCTACCTAATCTTTCTTTCACTGAAACTAATCTATCTATCTATCTATCTATCTATCTATCTATCTATCTATCTATCTATCTATCTATCTATCTATCTATCTATCTATTATTTTTCTATCTTTCAAACTATTCTTTCTTTCTAACTAATCCATCTTTCAAACTTCAAACTACTTTAAAATTCTTCAAACTCTCTGGTCTGGCTTTCTCAAGCCAACTTAAAGTTTGTTTCATCAAACTTTTTTTTTCTAGTTACTGTATAGAATACTATAAAATAATATAATGTCTGCCTCATTCCATAATTAAAAAGCTACATCAGTTCACAGAAGGAAGTTATTTCAAACTGGTTGCCATTACAATTAATTAATTTTGAAATAACTTCCTTATCCAATAATCTGCTTATCCTAACCAGATCCATCAGATTTTTTTGTAGCCTAAAATAATTTAATTTACAATATCTGCAGCATGTGTTGTTTTGCAGTGAAAACCCACCAATAATCATGATACACTAATCTGTAATTAGTTTTTTACACATTTTTGTGCATAATTATTATTGTTGTTACATTTATAACTATAGCAGTATACTCTCTTACTGACCTCTCTCTGTCTCTGTCAGTACCCGTATGAAACTCTCTTCCGCAATCAGCACTATGCTTTGTTGGATAACGGCTGTCGAGAGTTCCTCTTCTTATCGGACTTCTTCATGGTGGCTGGAAATTCTGCTTTGGATTTGTTCAACAGCATCATGGGAAAAACGCTCAGCATGTTCTTGGTACAGTCACACTCAGTATCAGAATGTTTGAGGGAAAAACATGATATTGCTTTTTTTTTTTAATGTTCTAAAAGTTTCATATTTCCACAGTATTTTGTAGTTTCCTAACAAAAACTACACTATGTATTATACTTTTTAAAATAGTTTGTAAAAATTGAGTTTTTTTTTATTTTATTAGACAGTCTCTCATTCCATTTTTTTCCCCTCTTTTCTCTATCCATAGAAGAATCTGTCAACATACTTGACAGACTGTTATGACAGTATTGCTGTGTTTCTCTGCATTCACATCATTCTGCGCTTCAGAGCCATCACAGCCAAGAGGAACATCCCTGCACTTGACAAGTCAGTCCCTCTGTCTATGCAAACATACTAAATCACCAACACAGACCTGAAAAGTTGTCATTCGGTTTAGTAATGTAACATTCACATTCTGAACAGTTTTTACAGAACAATACAGCGTTGGTGTTACTTTAAAGTCGTCATATAATCTGTTTGCTAAATCCATGTTATTAGAGGCTAAGCAACATAGGTACATACATAGGCACCTATGTATACTCCTTCTGATCTTGAAGTCTATGACCCGCATCTCTTCTTGACAAGCCTATATTCTGTGATGCCAACGATCACTGTTACTTGTTTCGCCGAAGTCGCTAGCTCTCCATTAAAACAATGAATGACATCATATTGTTTTGTGTCACTGGCTGTGAACAGGACTTAAAGAGCATATTGCAGGTAAAAAAAAAATCGAAATTTATAGATAACCTTGTATGAAAATACCATATGAAAAGTTAATGCAGGATTTAAAATGTTTTAAAACAACATAAGGGCACTAATTTAGAAGATAAAGTGAGCGTTTCTTGGACTGCTAGTAAAAACGGCTTTTTTTTCAACATCGCGTCATTTGACGTCATATCAGGGAGCCTCAGCCTTGGCTCAGTGGAGAGTAGGCTGGTGTTCAGTGAGAGCGCTCGTCAGTCAGTGTGCTTTCGTTAGTTTTTGCATTTTAATTTATCATCGTCATGGTAAATTATTGTGTTTGTGGAGATTGCAAAAACTCCAGCCTGTCAGGACTTCAAGATCGAGTCCACAAGTTTCCATTACAATAAAAGTGACGGTGCTATTAGCCTATCTTTCGTTCCTGGTGCGGTTTGAGCAGGTGAAGAGACGGGATTTCTCTTCTGCATCGGCTCGGAAAACGCGTCGTGTGTAGCGTTCACTTCAGATCAAATGATTATCATCCCGCCGATCAACATGAGATGCCGAAGCATTGATCGTCGTATACTATACCAATGGCATCAAATAGTGTTATATAGGTAACTTAGTCATGTCATGCCCTAGAACTTGTAATTGAAAAACAAAATTGTTTTTTTAAATACTCAAATCTTTAATGTTCTGTTTATGTTATAACCTAGGTGCAAAATAGTTATTAAAAATTTACCTAAGTATAGGCTATGCTTTTAGTAGCCTATAGAAATATACTCAAGTAAAGTTTTTATACATTTAATAGTATATAAATCTACCCTAAACATACTAATGTCTGCTGGCCTGTTATAGGATCATAAGAATCTGTACAGTATTGTGAGCACAGTGTATATCGTTAGCGAACGTGTATATCTATAAGCACGTCTCTCACCTAAAGGCACCTGTCCTGTTCTCCACTGGTTCTCCTCACATCACAGCTCAATTTATCTCTGACCGGTCTGTCTGACATTATCCTGGCCTGTCCCTGCTCTCTTTAGCATAGCAGGCTCTTAACTTTATGGCTTGATCCGTCATACGAGTATTTCCTCAGCGTCCGAAATGTCATGCGATCCATTGTTTTCCTGTTGTGTGAATCGACGGCTCTCCCGCTCATTGCGTCACGCCCGCCACGCCCATTTTCAGATGCGGAAGTAAAATTTTCTCACAAAAACGACTTCAGAAGCTTCTGTAGCGTGTTTATACGTATATTTTAAAGAAAATCTAGTTCCTACATTGTTTTTCTATGCATTGACTCGTTGGGTCCTCTAACCTGCAATATGCCCTTTAAGGTCTAGAAACAGAGTGATTTTTCTTCTGATTCCTTGGCTCAAGATGATTGAACGTATAAACTATGACGTAATTTTCCATTATGATAATTTTTCTGTCATTTTGAATTTTCCTAAAAACCTTTTTCAAACTTTCCCTGCATGGTTCAGAATTCAAGTCGAATGATACCCAATTTTCCCATATCTGTAATTTTGGACGTCAGATATTTTGAATTCTGTCGTAAAAATCCTATATTTTACAAACGCATTGGCGTATCATTACGAATCTTTTAGTGTCATCGGCACCATGCTCTGAAGGTACTCAAGAAGTTTCAGGGCTGCTCCCTATATTTAGTTATATTTTTGCCTATTGTAATGAAACTAGGGATGGGCATTTTAAAAATATTGTATTCGAATATATGGGCTCATGAAACATGTCCTACTAAACTACTACATGTCCTACTTGTTTGTCATTCGACTGGTGTTTGGATTTCATGTGATTTTGTCATTGTGGTGGTGATATTATGATAACTCGGTTTCATTCATTAATTTGATCAGAAGTAATTCCATTTTGTAAGATCATTTTCATTGAAGTAATTCAAAGCATTTTTGTGATCAAATACAGTAAACTTGTTAAACGCGCTCCACAGCGCCACCCAGTGCATTTAAAGGGATTCTTCAGGATTTAGTATTAAGCTTTGTATTAGTAGAAAACCTGTAGTATTTTCGAATTTCCGTGCATTCTACCCTCATATCCCCCTTAGATGAAAGATTTATGTATTTTTTGTCTAAAGACTTCAGAGAAGTAGTATTCAACTTGCCCATAGAGGGTGGGATCTCACTCACAGAATGTACACAATAGTGTCAGCCATCTTTTTTTTGGAAGCTAAGCTAGCAGGCTCTTGTTCTGTAGAGAAAGCTGAGTTGTAGTAGGGGTTAACCTACTGTAAAAAAAATATGGATGTATAATCCGTGATGTCACTCGTTGGTTTCTGCAGAGCGTTTTAGAAGCCTAAAGTGGGCGGGGCTGACCATTGCCATCTTGGCAGCACGTCACCTCTTGTCACTACCGGATAAAATAAAATGGGCAAAGAGGCGGGACGTGGGTGTAGCTGAGGTGCTAATGCTGTATACTACTGGCCTCGCGCTAAAGTGACAGCTGATTGAATAATTAAAGCCAACCAATATATTATAATATTATAAAAAAAGTGAGACTATTTACTTTACTTTATTAATCCCACAAGGGGCAATTGGTTAAAAGTATGTATAGAACAGTACATAACACAGATCAAACACATTTTTCACAACATACAGTCAACTATGTGTATTGTGATGCATTATTATTCTGCTAGTTAAAATTGTATTATCATGCAGACAGTAACTTACAATATTGCTCTGAGCTTGTGCGTGTGACAGTGATTTAATGCACATACGTCAGTCAACATGGCATGTTAGTTCGTAAAGAGGTTTATTCAGTCCATTTTACAATCTGATTTTGGCCGCCTCTCAATTTCTCAGATGGGTTAAACCAGCTTTTAAACCAGCAATTAAAGAGATTACCTCAGAAGTACAAGTAAATGCACTAGAAATCCGCGCTAATTTAAGTGTGTGCATCTATTGCATGGACAGAGAGAAAGCACTGACACTTGCAGGATTTCATCTGACGGTCCTTTTTATTTTACACTACAAAGTTAAATAAGCATATCTGTTCCGTGACAGCAGTCTCTATATCTACAGACGTTTGTAAATCTAAACTCAAAAAAGCAATGGAATTGTCAGACATCCATTAGTGCATGCGAGGGAAACAACTGGAAATACAGCGCTGGTTGTCCTCTCCATACTCGACAACGACGGAATCCAACGGCGTGCATGGGCGAAGGTATAATACGTGTATTAAATTGTATGAAATAATCCCTAAAAAGCACAAACTGCTGAGGGTGACACAAACAGACAAACGACTTGCAGTGAAAGCAGCGGCAATCCTCCTGTCACTCAAGTGGCCACACCCTTAACTATGCAGAACTTTAAGGCTTAATATAATTTAAACGGATGATTTGGAGAAAAAAAATTCTCCCCCCTCACAGTCGTTATGAAGGACAAAATTAGCGATATAGACCAAAACAACTATTTGCCACCAGGCTGTAAACATGTTTTTTTTTCTGCTGTGAAGTTAGGCATTTTAACATGCAGTGGCGGATGCAGAACGTGACAGATGGGTGGGCCTGGATTAAGTTGAGGTAGGCCAGAATCGAGGGTTTCTAGATTTTGTAATTAGCTTTACTACTAGATAGGCTATATTTATGGAGATGAGAAATAAAAACTGCACTGTACAGCTATGATCAGCTGTTCTGTCCAGCTTTCGAAGTTGTTACGAAAAGGCCAAAGCTGATCAGTTGGTTTTTGTCACATGACCTGCGGTGCGCTCGCGGCACTCTCTGAAAACTTGAGATGTTTTCATCTCGCCGCGGCATATATGTGCTCCTGGACAATTGAGCGCGCTGCAGCCTGCATCACATGCATATGGCAAGGCAAAATATTCATAAACGCTGGTCAGGCATCTGATTGCAATGCACACTGACCCGTCAAAAGCATACAGGACGCGCGGTTTGCCATAAAAGCATGTGTTCTTAACGTGCACTTTGTGGTCACGGAAAACGCGCGTCAGAAACTCGTGGTTTGCATATTTTTTTTTTAAATAAATAATGTATGAAACCTTATTGTACAGTCTTACCGAAATTCAACTGGAAAATTTGCGAGATGTGTCTCGAACGAAGGGATTAGGGACTGTCCGAGGTGCTGAAATAAAAAACAGTGAACGTGAAACCGAGAGTTGTTCTACAAAAACAGTTCTGAGGCATAAAACACCTGCAGACAGAAACAATCTTGTTTAAATTGCAGATCATGCGTCGAGGATGCACGTTTTGACACAAAACCGGGAGTTTCTGATGCACGTTTTCCGTGACCACAAAGCGCACGTTAAGAATGCGAGCTTTTATGGCAAATCGCGCGTCCCTTGGCTATCGAAACGCACTCGTTTGACGAGTCAATCAGATGCCTGACCACGTCTGTCGCGACGACGTTGCTTCCATTATGAGAGTTACATTTGAAATGACAAACTTGAGTGCGCAAAAGAGGCGATCTGTGAACGGGCCCTATTCTTGGTCTTTCCATGACATGGTGTTCATGTGAACAATGAGCCTCGTCCGCTCTCCTTGCAAGGGTGTCGAAGTCTGGACAAAATATGTACAGTGACATGACATCACTGCCAGATTCAAACTGTGCGTTCGCGCTGAGCCAGAGATAGACATATCATATACAGTGTTCAGCGGGCCGTATGGCCAAACTTAATTCATTATTATTATTAAAATAATAAAAAAAATTAAATTGTTTTTATTAATCTGTTTGGGTGGGCACGTGCCCACCCAGGCCCACCCATAAATCCGCGCCTGTTAACATGGGGGAGATACAGTTTTGACTCGCTTTTGCAATCAGCCTCAAGCGCCCAGTCGATGAAATGCAGTTTAATTCACTTCCATGTTGGTTTCAAGAGAGAGACGGGGAGGTTGCCGCTTGGGGTTACCATCCTCTTTTTCCTGGACGTGTCCGGCCGTCAATGTCCGAGATTCAGTTTTTGCTTTCTGCAGTCGCCATTCATTCTTTACATGCACAGCTTTTGGTGGATTGGTGAATCTGATTTTGTTTTTACATGAATGCTAAACAGGTGATCAGTGTATGTGCGTTTTAACATTTCTAAGAAAATTCCCGCTCCTCCGTGAGAGATACGAGACCGGTGTGTCTCACAGGTGTCTCTTATCAGTAATCACGCCACTGGCCTCGCGCTGTTCTCCCACGGCCCTCACTCGTCCTGCTCGCCACAGTAAACAAAATTAATGGCGACTGTAGAACGCAAAAGCCGAAACACATTTTTGGGTAAACTCATCACAGAGACTGCCTAATTTTTGAGTGCTACATCCACTATTAAAATCCATCCAGTCAACAACATTTGACATTTTTTGATAATCTGTTTCACTCTGATGTACAGTACATCACAATACAGAAGAAAAGATCAGTCACTACTTCCATTTCATCAACACTTAAAAATTATGAGGAGAAACAAGGTGATGGTACCTGGAAATTAGATCTCAGATCGCCCACATACAAGCTCTTCTGCATTACCTGCCAGTTTCAGGACACTTGTGTGTTTCTGTGGTTGATGTATCTTTAAATGGCTTTTGTTTTTGTATTTGTATTGTGCAGGTACTGGGAGGCTGTGCTAGAATTGTTATGGCCAAGATTTGAGCTCATTTTGGAGATGAACATCCAGAGCATTCGAAACACTGACCCTCAGAAACTGGGTGTACTGGACACCAGACCACACTATGTACGAAGCCTCATACACAAATAAATGCCGAAATACCACAGTCAAAAAAAAAAAAAAGGTTTTCTGGTAGTGCAAACATTTTGTACGTTCACAACTAGACCACAGCCAATCATCAAATATTATTAAAAGATTATGCTCATGTTGTCTTTAGATTTGAAAATTAAATCCCAATTGATCCATTTTAATCAGTTTTATTTTTATTCCTACCAAACATGTATTAAATGTATTATATGTGAAACTATAGTTTTACATTCCACGTATGAAGATAACACATTCAATTAAAGAGGGAAAAATGTATGATTCAGCTGGATTCATTTAAAATTGTACAATTCCGTCCTAAAAACAATGCTCAATTTAAAAGAAAACCTTTTATTTTTAGAGACTTACATGTGCTGTGTTCTTTCCATGTACAGTATGATATGAATGCACATTTACACATGTGCCATAAATAATCTGTTTTTGCTTCTCGTTTGTGTAGATTACACGCCGGTATGCTGAATTCTCTTCTGCTATTGTTAGCATAAATCAAACCTTTCCCAATGAGAGGACCAACACGCTACTCGGACAGCTGCAGGTGAGCAGAACATATACCCCTCTGTGTTCTCGAATGGTGAAGTGGCTCAAACCTGACATGGATATTATTCCCAGATTGAAGTGGAGAATTTTGTGCTGAAAATGGCGGCCGAGTTTCCTTCTAGACGAGACCAGCTCATCTTCCTCATCAACAACTATGACATGATGCTCAATGTGCTCATGGTGAGGTTACTCGCATACCACACTGCCAGAAATGGACATAAACACATGTTTTCAAATATACAATACAAAATACCTCAGTTGAACTGGATCAAAATGAAATACCAAATACTGTGTGGAATTGTTTTTAATTTAAATACACATTCAGTATTTTGAAATACACAAAATAAGTTTTTCAAATAAGAAGTAAATATAGCAGACAATAGGTAATCTTGACACGGAGGTGCCGGCGCGTGAACGGCAAATCGTCTCATAAATGAACCGAAACTCAGCTTATAGACCTGAGAAATATATCTATATTGAAATGTCTACTTTTAAACAGAACAATTCAAAACGAAAGACAGACTGTTGTTTTAATCCGTATGAAATGTGCATTTCTCTCTGGCGTGTTCACTGAAGATCTTGAGTCAGCATTGTCAACTATTATTGTTTCTAATGGCAGCTACTACTTTGCACCACGCACTTTGAGTCCATGACAAATTTCCCCTAGGGGACAATAAAGTATATTCTATTCTATTACTTTTGCCAGTTCTTTGTGACCGCTTTTATGTGCTTTATTGGCATTGCCACCCTTACATAAATCACTGCACCTGCATATTTTAAAATATTAATTTATCGGTCATTATAAATGTCGATACTGATAGTTAGGAATTAGCCTAATATTGGCCCACCAGTCTATCGGTCGGGTTCTGTGGACTTGTGTTAAGTCCTCAAGACTGGAGGGTGTCTCATGTGTCATTTTATGTTTCAGAAGGGTACTCGTGAGCGCCCCCCCTTCGCGGTCCGATATTTGCCCTCGATGTGCACTTTTTCTGAGTCTGCACTGACACCCTACAGTCTTGTGGATTTAACCGACATAGGCACAGGGCGCCCATTGTAAGTCCACAAGCCAGCAAGTGCACATAAAGTGTGCCATTTGGGACAGGGCCTAAATAAATCACGTGTAAAACTGGGAACATTGCCTGCTCTCTAGCAAAGAGTAGGAATGGCCTAGATAAGCAAAATATTATATCATAATATGAGTAATTTTCACAATAACAATATATATCATGTTTTGTTTTTGGCTGTAAATAAGGTTGTTGCGATACCAATATACAGGTGAAATGACACTATTCTCAATACCAGTTTCAATAGCACAGCAAAAAATAATAATATATATTAATGTAAGTAAAAAGTTGTCAAGTAATTATTGAAGACAAGTAAACAGTTACTAATAAAATTTAAGAAATAGGGCAAATAAATACAGTAGGACAAAGATACAAATTAAATATGAAGTGCTAAGTTTTTTCAGGTAGGTCTACCTAACAGGACAGGAGTACGAAATAATACAGAAATTGTATAAAGTAAAATGAAAAAAAAAAAAACTGCATAGTCTTCACTGTATGAGTTAAATGCACAATGATGGTTTTTAAAGCTACAAAAGTTATTCTGTTATTCTGAGTGAATTTCTCTTTTTTTGTTGTTGTTGTTTGATTAAGGAGACAGACAGCAGCAGAAAATTAGTCTCTTTAAGAGCTTATGCATGGACCAAACAAGTATATTGCACTTGTAATAACTCAAGCACGTCCCACTCTTTTTTTTTTTTTTTAGTCATTTGCCCATGTTTCAATGTTGTCAATAACTTCTTCCCACTAAAAGGTGCATGGATATGCTTACGAGATATATAAACGATAAAAAAAAGTTCAATCAACCCCACAATCAATTCCACAATTTATATCGTCATATCACCCAGTCCTAGCAAGCAGTAATTCTTAAACACATTTGACTTGCTAGCTGATAAAACCAAAAACCAATTAACTATCAAGACGGTTTGGCTAACAAGTTGGTACTGGAAATCAGCAGCCTAATAAAGAGTTTGACTGGCACAAAGTATATTATGTATTTTGAAAATACAAAAATAGTAAACTTTAATTTATTTAAATACAACATACATTTGATGTCTTTCAAAGGCTTTAAAATACAAAATAGCATTTTGCGTTTCAAGTACATATTTTAAATGCATGTATTTGAAATACTGCACACCGCAGTCCATTTATTACCTGTTAAGACTGTACCAGAATGCATCATGATGATATGTTCTGTGTGTGTTGTAAAGGAGAGAGCAGCTGATGACAGTAAAGAGGTTGAAGGCTTTCAGCAGCTCCTACTGGCGAGAACACAGGTACATTCTGGGATACTAAGTACCGGTTCAGACTGACAGCTGTTTTGAAGTAGCACATTGCTTTCCTTATTGTCATGTAAGTAACCATTGTTTGCTGATGTGTAATTTTACAGGAGTTTATAGAGGAGATTCTTTCATCTCCGTTTGGAGGGATGATTGCATTTGTGAAGGAGAGCGAGGGACTAATCGAGAAAGGGCAACTTGACAAACTCAAAAATGATGAAGGTCAGTGCTGGAACTGCTTTATTTTCACTGTTAATTTTTATATCGTACTGCTTTATTTTTCATCTTTTATCATGTGATTTATTCATCACCCCAAAATTCCTTCATCATTTACTCACTCTTAAGTTGCTTTAAACCCATAAGTCCTTCATTCATATTCGGAACACAAATTAAGATATTTTTTTACATTTTCATCATTTTTGTCCATCCAATTAAAGCAAAACAGATCCTAGAGAAATTTCAAAAAGAAGAATTACAAACTATACAAAAGGAAGGAAAGAAAAATACCATGTGGGATCGTTTTAGTGAAGTAGTTAACCAGGACCAATCAATTATGTGATATGTGACGGCTGTGAAGCGCTGTAGCCTATTTGACAATAAACTAAAAGCCTATACTGCCTTTGCTTGATTTGAACTTCTTGTGTTATGTTTGGGAATTTGCAGTGATGGAACCACATTTAATGTAGTAACCTGAGATTCTCCCTTTAGAATAGGAACTCTAAACTGTGTCTTGGGGGTACGCTATGGGAAACAAAATACCCACTCAGCCATGCCGCAGGGATGCCTGCCTCACAAATCATATTATCCGCTCGACCCAAAGTTGAAACTGCAGGGCAGCGCAAGCTTACTAGAGCAGGTGCGTGTACTCACTGAGTGGTCTCAGCCACTCGACCACTAAACGGCGCTGTGAGATCCAGTGAGAAGTGTTTAAATTCAGCAAAGAACACAAATATCTCTGTGATTTAAAGCCAGATGAAACAGCACTAACAAACAGTAGAAACACTGTGCGCAACGATACAGTCAGAAGGCTTTTCAATGTGCAAATTGTCATCATTTACCATAGAATGATGAAACGGTTAAATCAGGGCTGAATATGGCTTCTTCCACAACTTCTCCACTTCAGCGTGGAGGTCGGGAAGGATTGGTAGACTCATGAGGGATGGGAGATGGCCTAAAAGAAAGCACTCATCCAGCCTACCACTAGCGCCCCCCAAGCCAGATCCAATCTGGCTGTGGCACTGGCCATGACGTCCAGCAATTCCACATATGCTGGGCTGGCAAGTTGAGAAGAATCCATACACACACACTTTCCTCACCTTCTTTAACCACATCCGCTTCCTCTTGACTGGATGTCGAGAGACAGCACATCCTGGCTAGACGGCACACTCCTCGGCAGAGTTCTACCTGCTATCCTCAAAACTGAAGCCTCTGCTTTGCTCTTACAAAAGCGGGGCCTGAGCCGTGGAGTGCAGACACTTTTCCCACATCCCTTAAGGATAGGGAAAAATGTGAACAAAGTTTTCTCATTGTGAATTTATCGCAATGGGAGCATTCAGAACCATCAAGCACTGAATGCACATGTTCCTCTCCCAAGCAGTAAAGACACAGGTCGTGTGTGTCCTCAGGTGTCAGGTGTCCCCATAGCATCCATTCAAGACGCAGTGTAGAGTTCCTATTCGAAAGGGGACTCGTTTGGAAAGATCTAGAAATTATCTTTGTTTTTTGTTTTTTTCTGATAAAAAAAGTTTAAAGGGATACTCCACTTTTTTTGGAAATAGGCTCATTTTACAACTCCCCCAGAGTTAAGCAGTTGAGTTTTACAGTTTTCGAATCCATTCATCCCATTTTCTGATATTTAGAAGAATATCAGTAACCAGACCATTTCTGGTCTCATTGACTTCCATAGTAATTTTCTCAATGAGACCAGAAACTGTCTGGTTACTGATATTCATCTAAATATCAGAAAATCATCTGAATGGATTAGAAAACGGTAAAACTCAACTGTTAACTCTGGGGGAGTTGTAAAATAAGCCTATTTCCAAAAAAGTGGTGTATCCCTTTAACTGAGTTAAAACTTTTGTTAAAACTGAGTTTGGTGCTTCAGACCCAAAAGGGACAGATCTTTTTTTTAAGCTAAGGTGTTAATATCTGCATTGCCATCATCATTAAACACAATTGCCCCCTTTATTTTTTACATATATTTGCAAAATACTAATGTTTTTTACTCTTTAGTATAAATTGTGTGTTTTTTCTATGTTGTATGTTTTCTGTTCAAAAGCTTTTTCATGTTGTCAGATAAGTTACAAAGAATTATGTCATCACCACGTCACTAATTAAATCATCTCATCATTATGGTTTCAAAGTAGATTTACCAACACTGTTCAAAACTGACACTACAAGTCGAATGTTTGGGGTCAGCAAGATTTTTGTTCTTGTTGTTTTGAAAGAGATTAAAGAGATTAAAGGGACGGTTCACCCAACAATGAAAATACTGTCATCACTTACTCACGCTCATGTTGTTCCAAACCTGTATGAGTTTTTTTTTTCCTGTTGTACACAAAACAAGATATTTTAAAGAATGTTGGTAATCAGACCGTTGATTGTAGCCATTGACTTCTACAGTAGGAAAAAAAAATACTATGGAAGTCAATGGCTACTGTTCTGATTGTCAATGCAACATTCTTATTTTCATGGTACAGTATAGTGCATATATTGCTACCCTGCCTTGTGGTTTCAGTGCCATGACATATCACAGCAAATTCTGACTTAAATTTATTGTTCTCAGTTGTAACCTGTCTTTACCTTTTCTGGAACCGTCAGGCAGCATGTCGAGTTTTGTTATCGAAGGTGATTTTGTCTTTCTAAAGATATTGAACACAATCGTCTACTACAAATTTATTTCTCTGCACTGTGTTGTTAAAATGCGGACAGAATGTATTATTCCCTGTCCTTACAGGAAAACACGTGGGTCAAAACAAATGGCAAGTACAGATGCCTTGCCATATAGCCGCCAGTAGCTAAAGAGCTCAACTCAACAGTGTATGTGACATTGCATTTGATGGCTGAACGCCATCAAATCCAATTTGAACGCAATGCAGCGTTTAACAAAAAGGACGCTTGGCACATGCAGATGATATCCTCTTTGCTACAGGGAATTCTTTTACTTTGCCTTTGAGCTGTGTTACACTTTAAGAGCAACCATTATGGAGACAAAGCCTTTGAAAAGAAGGAGGACAAGCATAGAAACACAGCTAAAGGGGCAGAAGTTTAGGCTTCAAAGCTTGCCCATTTCATAGGCCTGCCAGCCACAGACACGTCACCAGACTGCGTATAGCACTCAAATACACTATTTAAAGACTACTCTGATCATTACCAACATTCTTTGAAATATCTTCTTTTGTGTACAACTGAAGAGAGAAACTCATACTTCTTTTGTGTACAACTGAAGAGAGAAACTCATACAGGTTTTGAACATCTTCAGGGTAAGTTGTAGCGCGTCTCGTTCTTCAAAAGTGAATCCACCTTCACTCCTCTAGACACCAGATCTGCCGGATTGCTTGATGAATTCACGTACCTCCATTGTTCTACATCGGAAACCTTCAGAATTTCGGACACTCTATTAGCCACAAAGCACTTAAATCTAGTGGTGCTATTTCGAAGGTATTTGAGTACTGAAGTACTGTCAGTCCAAAAAACTGAGTTTTGAAAGGGCATCTTGAGTTCCTTCATCCAGATTTTGTCAATACGGCTTGCAAGAGTGGCAGCTGTAAGTTCCAGGCGAGGGATTGTAACGGATCTTAATGGTGTAACTCTTGCCTTGCTTACTAAGAGGGTAGAACATGCCTGTTGTTGGTCATTATGGAGCAGCAAATCGTCGCTGCCCGATGAAACTCACGTATGTCCAAAACGGTTACTTTTCAGGAAGTGAAAAAAACATGTAATTTCAAAAGCAGCTGAACGCAGCGTTGCCATGCTTGGCACAACATCTTTAAATGTAACCATATTCTTGCCAGTGTCATGATATAATCCATATTTGACCCAAAATCGAGTTTAAATGGACATACGTGCATATTGTATAGTAACGGTGGTCGATACGCGTTCTTCCGATCATTAATTAGAATGACCAAATCGCGTTTCATAATGACAGATGAATCGGCTACGCTCAGTTTATTAAATGTCTCTTGCAAACTATGAAGAGACAATGAATCAGACACTGACATGGTGATGTTAGACTGATACTTTATTTACACAATCCTACCGTAATTCTGTCGGATATGAGCTGTATTTTATTATAGATATGAGCTGCATATTATCATCAGCTAATTTCAAAATCAAAGACACATCAATAAGAGCTCGGCAACAGCCTGCCCTGGTAAGATCACTTCGTTTCTTTACTTGAAGATGATTGTGTGTGTGAGACGCTCAGCTGCTCATCTGCGGTGATGCGTGTCGCAGTAGCGCCGTCATCTGACTATAACGTGTCATATAGCCTATAACATGCTCTCATTCGTTTATTTTTTTTTTTAGCATTTTTGGGAGGAGTAAAATATAGGCCTACATATGTGGTTTCAACAACCAGATTGCGTTTACTAGTAAAGATCCGAACACAATGCGAGCCAGACTACATCCAGATGGTCAGGCAGATCCGATCACAATTCGATCAGAACGTATTTATACCTTCCATTAACCTGCCTTTTTTTATTATCCGGATAACTTATCTGGATACAGATCGCATTTTAATACCAGGTGTAGGGGTCTCAGAGATAAGACAGGCGAGAAACTTCACGAGACCGGCGAGATGCCTCCACAGGGCGGGGAGATACCATACTGTCTATGGGAGATACGCTGCGTGATTGACAGCTTTGACAGCAAATGGAAATACGTGGAAATCAGATGACATGATTTTACAACTTTTCATTGGTCATTTAGATAATGTGAAGCATGCTGTATACGGAAATGAACCTGGACATTCTATCTGTCAAAAAATCTCAAAATCGGCAAAATGGACATACGCGGTTTTCATCGGACAGAGACGAAATAGGATACCACGCCATATCCTTGCTCGCTTGCATCTGAAAAATGATGCATTTGAGCAGAAGTTACATCTCCAAACCCATCAGGCTTGAAACATCTTCTGACCTCAAAGCCCTCCAAGTTATGCAGATCGTCCAGCCAGTTCATCCAACGTTGAACATACACTGATGGAATATCATTGTCCCATCCAATTCCCTCCCTACATAGATCCTGCAGTATCCTCTTGGCAGACAGAATCACAGGTGACAAGAACCCCAGAGGATCGTAGATGGAACTAACCACTGAGAGAATACCTCTCCTGGTAAGAGGTCTATCCTTGACTACCACTTTGAATTGAAAGGCATCCGATTCAGCACACCATTGTACTCCCAATGCTCGTTCCACTGGCAAGATGTCACGATCGAAATCCAAATCCTTTACCTTTTTCTCCCTGTCCTTCTCAGGTATTACACTCAACACAGCACGGCTGTTGCTCGTCCATTTTGTTAAACAAAATCCACCTTTAGCACACATACTAGTAAGATCCTTGTACAGTTGCACAGCTTCTGATTCAGAAGATACGGAAACAAGGCAGTCATCCACATAGAAGTTATTGAGAACGACGTCCGTTGTCTTAGGGTTGAATAGATCCTTTTGATCCATTGCACATTTCCTCAACGCAAAACTTGAGCAACTAGGTGATGATGTAGCCCCGAATAGATGAACCACCATTCTGTATTCCTCCAGACTGCTATTTAAATCACCTTCTGGCCACCACAGAAATCTCAAGAAGTCACAGTCTTCTGGGTGAACTCTGATTTGATGAAACATGGCCTCAATGTCAGCCATTAGGGCAATGGGTTCCAAACTAAATCGTACTAGTACACTCACCAGTGAACTGGTTAAGTCTGGACCTTGTATAAGCTTGCTATTCAGTGATGTGCCCTGAAAAGAAGCTCCACAATCAAACACAACCCTGACCTTGTGTTTTTTGAGATGATAGACACCGTCATGGGGTAAATACCACAGACGTCCATCACGTCTCTCCAGTTCAGCCGCAGGTACCCTTTCGGCAAAACCCTTATGAATCACATCCTCCATAAAAGTGGTGTAATCTGCATGAAAGGAAGAATTCACTTTGAACTTCTTATGTAGAGTTAGAGCACGTTGTTCTGCAATTCTCCTGTTCATAGGCATGACTACTTCGGCATTTCTGAATGGTAGACCAATATAATAATAATGATCATTAATTAGCTTTGCTGAATTGGACACAAAATTCATAAACTGCTGATCTTCTTTAGATGTTCCCACCATCTCTTCATGAGTAGTCTCTGGAAAATCAGCTTTAAATTGCTGCTTCCACAACTCTTCCAACTTCATCACTGCAATCCTATTCGCAGTCACAAAATTTGGTTTGCAGCATCATCTCCATTCATGCCAACTCCTTTGAGTGGTCCGTTAACGGTCCATCCGAACAGGGTCCTTACGGCATATGGGCCATTATTTTGACTACGTATGACCTCCCAAGGCTCCAATGTTTCTGGAACATTAGCTCCAATCAAAAGCTCTATACCAGCATTGATCGTAGGTAGACAAATATGACTCAGATAAGGCCAACATTCAAGATCCTTTTGTGAGGCGATGTTTGCCATGGTAACGGGCATGCTCACTTCCGGCAATGCACAGTAATCTTCTTGTCTCAATCCAGAAATCTCCAGGTCTTTTAGAACGTAGCTACCGACTGATTTATCTTGGCTCATAGTTCTGAGAAGGATATTAACTCTCTTTCCAGGGAGGTTGAGCTTGTTCATCAAACTTTCGGTACAGAAAGAAACAGAACTTCCTGAATCGAGAAAAGCATACGTCATCACCACATTGTGACTCTTTCTTGATTTAACACAAACTGGGACGATAGGTAATGCACAGCTGTCGTTACCAGCCCCAGGAAGACCACTAGTTTGGAGCGAGGCCATAGCACTAGCTACTGCTGACTTAAATTCAGCTTTCTTCTTGTCCAATGTATCTACCTTCTCATGAGGGTAAATGTGAAGAAGACTTGGGTGTTTAAGACCACATACGTTACAGACACTTCTCATTTTGCAGTCCCTACTCCCTGTATGCAAGCAGCCAAAGCAAACTCCTCTCGTCATCAGAAAGTTCATCTTTTCTCTGTGACTTTTTCTGATCAGTTTATTACAGACATCCAGTATGTGTTCACCGTTACAAAAGAGGCAGGTTCTGTTAGTTGATATCTTATGGTGTTCTTTCATTTCAGGTATAGCAGTGACAGTAGTTGCAAAGCTGCTTCTAGTTTTCGGCTGACCTGCTTTGAAATTCATCTTTCTACCTCCAACAGGTGACGCATCCTGAATATTACCAAACACAGGATCAGATAGAATTTTTACTTGTTTTTCGATAACAACAACATCAGAAAAGGTGGTTTGATTGTGGCGTCGCTCCTTTAACTCGTATGCAACGACTCTCCATCTGATTTTATAGCCTTCCATAAAAGAGCCTTTTCCATGTATGACGAAGCTATTTTTACCTCATTGCCGAAGTTCTCTTTAAGCAAAGCAAAGCAAGTAACCTTGTGACGGGGTCATGAGCTGGCAACTTCTAACAAGTTCTCTCGACTGTCCTCGTGTATATTGCTCCAAGAAGTGCAGACAATCTCCTGGGTTGTCTGCCTTCTTTTCCACCACTTCCTCAAATGTACGCATAAATTCATGAAAGCGCAAAGGATCTCCATCAAAGTACTGTATTTTTCTAGGTGGAAGGGAAGACAAGTTATGCTGTTTAACCAATAGGGCAGCTATTTCATTTTGCTTACCCATAAGCTGAAGCATGCTTGAATGGCTTGTGTCAATTTGGGAACTTGGTCTTGACCCATGAGCATCGCGATTCTGATTATCCAATGATGACAAATTAGGCAATGTAGCTTGTAAAGGTTTCATTTTAGGTCTTGTTGATGGTTGTTGTCCTAACTGAGATGGAGAATAATTTGGGATCCTTTGTGAACTATTGATATATGATGTACGTGCTACAGGTATGGACTCTGATGCTGCTGGGACACTAGCAGAAGGAACAAATGGTTCTGCTACCGAATGTAGGGGTTTCAACACATTCCTATCCACAGATGAATAGGATACAGACTGAACGTCTTGATACACTTTTACTCTTGCCATTGATTCAGCTAATTTGATTTCCAAATCCAATTTTTCCTTCCTTTTCCCCAACTGTTCCCCTCGTTCCGCTAATATCAGATGCACAAACTCCTTGATGTAGCAATGGCTTCCTCAACCACAGGCCCACGGAAAATAAAAGAAGCGGTGCAAGTATTCAATTTCCTAGCTTCGTTCGTCCATCGTTGAACGTCATCCACAAAACCATTATAATGTTCCAAAATGGAGTCAAACCATTCATTTTGTTTACTTTGTCCCTCAATAGGTAGTAGAGGCAATACTCCTTTATGTAGCGCAGATGCATCATCCATAAGCAGCTGTATCGTTTTCAACATAGAACACACTCGAGGCGCATTCTCATCGCATTTCATCAGCTCTTTCATTGACCCAATCAAATTCTTCACTTTGTTCACTTTACTCTTGCGATCCCTTTGCAAGGCTTCTATCTTAGCCACCAGCGCCTTTGTCGTGGGTTTATGCTCTCGTTTGCTCCCATCAACAACAGCGATATCCATATCCTCAGAATTCATCATTCTCCAACGCAACGGACAATGCGAGCTCCGTTTCAAACAGCACGCTCACAGAGCCAAACAATGAATGAACGTAACCAGGCAGTAAGTCACACGAGAGCCCATAAGTACCAGAGCAACACAGAGCGCGTTCAACTCAACGCCAATCCAATGACTACAACAGCGTCTTCCACAACAGCGATACAGCACAATCCATTGAAACCGCGAACATACCTCATTTGCCGTCTGTATGTGCGTCGTGTCCGTCAATCCAAACTCTGCAGTGCACGTCCGCCCCCACATGCTGTATGCAGAAACAGCCGTTTCCAAGTTGCGTCCATTATCCCTTCGTTGTCTAGTTTTCTGTTGACTTAAATGTAGTGGCAACCTATAGCCGCTGAGAGGCTAAGCAGCAGGAATTATCCGTGACGCGTTTTCTTGCATTGAATATTCAGTAGCATTTATTGACATGGTAACGGACTACGCGCAGAGACAATCAAGAACATACATGCAAACGGTCAACAGAAAGTGAGCACTCCCCGCTACTCACCCCCTCTCCACCCCACCCCAAACAGCAAACACTATCAGGTATATACCCACCAATACCCATGTGACCGTCACACCTGGAAACGCACGCAAATTACAAAATAAAAGACAAAACATTTTCTACACTTACATAAGTGATGACAAAATTTCTTTTTGGGGGTGATGTATTCCCTTTAATACTTTAAGCTAGGATGAATTCTTTAGCTAAGGTGAATTAAATTAAATTCACATTTAAATAATGACAAAGAATACTTGCATTAAATATAATATAATGTTACTATGTAATGTTATGTAATACTATGTAATGTAATATGTAATGTTATAATGTTTTTTTATAATGAAAAGATGTCTGTTTCAAATAAACGCTGTCCATTAGAAATGTCCTGGGGGAAAAACTAACTAATAAAAATTAGAATAAAAGTTTCAAAGCAAATCCGCATAACACTGGTAGAATGATTTCTGAAGGATCATGTGACACTAAAGACTGGAGTAATGGCTGCTGAAAACTCAGCTTTACCATCACAAAAAATACTAATTTAAATAGCACAAAATTATTTTAAATTATATTAATATTTCACAGTATTCATGTTTTACTGTATTTCTGATCATATAAATGCTGCGTTGGTGAACAGACTTATTTAAAAAACTTAATCATCCTGTCCCCAAACTTATTAATCATATTACAATGTTTCCATCAAAGGATGCTCCTAGAAACACCCACAGAGGTCTGGGTGAATCCCAGGAATCTGCATCTTTTAAGAATCTGTCTGCCTATATCTGTTTGTTAGCTCGTATCACTCAGTTGGTGCGGGGTTTCTCCAGCACATGGAAGCAGTCTGTGGAGGCCTTGAGTCAGGATGTGATGCGTTCCTTCACCAACTTTAAAAACGGAACCAGCATAATTCAGGTACAACCTTATGAGACAAATCTTGTGAATATTTGTGTCGCAATTTAATTATTTATTTTATGCATTTAAATGTTATGAATTCTTGTCTGGTTGTATACACTAGGGAGCGCTGACCCAGCTCATCCAGTACTATCATGGTTTCCATAAGGTCCTCTCCCAGCCAACATTCCGGAGTCTGGCGGTGCGCTCTGAGCTCATAAACCTCCATCATCTGATGGTTGAAGTCAAGAAACACAAACCAAACTTTTGAACCCACACATGAATCATCAGGACTTATTGGGCCAAGACTGTCAGGAAATATTTGCTGTAGTAGCACTGCAAAAAATCATTCTTTGGGAGTACCTAAGAACATACACATTCATAAAACAAGAGATATTTTCCTTGTAAGCAAAATTGTGTAAAACTGAAGACTAATTTTCAGAACATCTATATTGGATGGTGAGTGTAATTTTTCTTCTGTCACTGGCAGTAGTTCTGTCAACCTAAGCAAAACAACAATGCAAACAGAAAACAAGGAAGAAATATTAAAAGTCTGATATTTTCCAGTTTAGATCTAAAGCTAGAACAGGTGATTTTTCTACTAATTTTCAGTAGATTGTGATTTATATCAACAAGTATCATATATAATAAGCTCTAATCTAATTCTTTGGCAGTCTTATTTTTTAAGGGATAATTCACACACAGAATAAATATTCTGTCATTATTTACTCACCCTCAAGTTGTTCACAAACCCATAAGACTTTCGTTCATCTTCGGAACACTAATCAAGATATTTGAATGAAATCTGAACATTTTCTGTCCCTCCATTCACAGCTATGCAACTACCACTTTCACCCTTCAGAAAGTACATAAAGAGATTGTAAAACTAATCCATATGAATTGTGCGGTTGAATAAAAGTCTCTTCAGAAACTTTGGACTAAACCGAAACTGCTTGATGCGCAACAAGCTCAAAACTCTTGCGGAAACTCAAACGTGCTGTGTAACATTGATTGTCACACGTCAAGCGACATGCTTGAGCTTCCATTTACCATAACTGATGTGTGTGCTGATGAATGTTTATATGTGAATAAAAGCCTAAATTCAATCTGTTCAGTGTCTAAAGCGATTGTGCCTCTTCTGAAAATTTGGACTAAACCACTCAATTTATAAGGATTTATTTTTTTATGAACTTTTTGAAGCGTCAAAGTGCTAGTTAAGTAGATGTCAATGGAAGGATAAAAATTTCATTAAAAAATATCTTAATTTGTGTTCTGAAGATGTACGAAAGTCTTGCGGGTTTGGAATGACATAAGGGTGAGTAAATGATAGAATTTTTGGGTGAACTAACCCTTTAAGTTTGCTGATAATTTGATTTCCTTCTATGTTTATGTAAATGCATTTTTGGCCTGGCATCAGATCTAAAAATGTATTTTTGTTTTCTCAAAAGTTCTTTATGTAGGCCTATGCACTGTTGTATTGACAAAAAAAAGTATTCCATGTCTCAAAATAAAAGCTATTAAATCAAAAATCTCTTAAAATGTTGGTGTAAAAAACCAAGGCTACACAAGTTGGCTACTCTATTTTTTGTTTTGTTTTTATGATTTCAATGAGTTTGAAGCTACATTGGACTTTAGCGGTGAAAATGGATTTTGCATTCAAACGAATTGTGCTCTGCAGCGCATCACTTTTTCAAATGCACTTTGCCTCTACAGTAACCATTATGTATCAGAAAGCTGTGACAGGATTAGCACTTTGTCAAGTGTTCCTTCAGGTGAACAGGTTTGTTATTTCAAAAAAACAGCAACTTGATATGATGAATAAATGAATGTTACAGTATGAATTACTGACTATGAAAAACATGAACTATTGTAATAAGTAGTTAAGCCTTCTTTATTTGTTATATTTTCTAAAGTAGCCTATTAGTTATCATCATCAACTTTTAAAGGAGCATTTCACCCATTGCAACATTAATCTTTATTGAAAGTGGATCATATATGTAGTCGAAATGTAAAATAATTTTTTTATTTGGTGCCCTCTTGACCAAGAAAAGACAGAAAATAACCAAGGGGCACCTATTCGCTATATGGGGAGGCTGCAGACCTGGAGCCGGCAGTTCTGTTACGAGAGGTTCTCTTGTATTGCGTAAGCTAGCTTACGCTACGGGAAAGATTCATCTTTGCTGAGAAGTTGAAGCCAAAAAATTATTCCATAATTTTGTAATCATTGTCAACGCAGTCTCTCTGAGGCAGACCGTGAGCGGGGCTAGCTAGCAGCTCATTGGTTCGCTCAGAGAGAATGCACGAACCTATGGGAGAGCGGCGCTGAGCCCGCGGCCAATGAGCGGACGGCGCTCGCTCATTGCGTCAGAGCCCGCCGAAAGGGGCGTGGCTACAGTGTATAAAACTGGCTCTCCCAGGCTCGGTAGACGATTTTCATCATTTCAGCGAGCTACATGCATCCGCTGTTCTGGGAAGAAGCCGCCGTCGTCGAAAAGGCAACCTTCTAGCGAGCTCCGGAGACTGAGGAAGCCGGCCGTCTGCCACCTTCAGCCGTCCTGCAAGCTAGCGCCATCCGATGCCGTATCCTTTTCCTATTTTCCTCACAAAAGAGCTCGAGCGTCTTTTTCAAGATGCCTCGTTTCTGCGGCTCATGCCGCTCTCCACTTGAAGAAGGAGACCGCCATCCCATCTAACCTCCCCCCGTGCAACCACCGAATCGCATGGATGGTAAATTCCTGCACCGACCCGGCCCCCGCCTGCAGCCGGGCTGCATCATTCCTGCCTGAGCTTCATAACGAGCTCACTAAGTCTTGGAATGCCCCTCTTTCGGCTCGAAACCGCTCCGACGTGTCCACCTCGCTGCGCTCAGTGGACGGAGCCGCCGAGAGGGGATATACTGCCATGCCGCCCGTCGAGGACCTGGTCGCCGCTCAACTTTGCCCGCCCTCTGCTAGATGGCGGTCTTCCCCTACGCTTCCTTCTAAAGCGTGCAGAGCGACCTCCACTTTTCATGCCCGCGCTTACGCCGCCGCCGGACAGGCTGCTTCAGCGCTGCATTCCATGTCTGTCCTCCAAGTGCTACAGAGCGACATCTTGTGCGAGATGGCGAAGAGCGGTAGGAACCCGCCCACCCTTTCGGATTTGAGAAGCGCGACGGACCTCTCCCTTCGCGCCACTAAAGCCGCCGCACAAGCCCTGGGGAGATGTATGGCCAACCTCTGTGTCGCTGAGAGACACTTGTGGCTCACGCTGGCCGACATGAGAGATTCAGAACGCGCCGTTTTCCTCAACGCGCCTATCTCTCCGACCGGCCTCTTCGGATCTGCCGTCACGGGCATCGTCGACCGCTTCTCCGAGGTACAAAAAGCCACCCAGGCCATGAACATGTTCCTGCCCCGCCGCGCCAGCACTTCTGCAGGCCGCCCTCGCGAGCCCCCTGCCAGAACCTCGCAACAGCGCCCGCCTCAGCAAGCCCAGCGTGGTCAGGGCGGCCGCCCTCGCTCTCGCTCCGACAGCCGCCGCAGACAGCCTCCTCCCCGGGGGCCTCGACCCAAGATCACGCTGAAGCCTGATCAGCAAAAGTCTGCCTAGCACAGCTGAGAAAAAGACGGCTCTCTCCCGCTACGGCCGGAACCGCCGTCAAAGTTTCGTCCTCTGCTAGTCCCCGAAGCCTCGCCGACTACAGTAGTGTTTACCGCCACAAACAAGCCGGTTTCTCTGCCCGCTTGCGAGCGACAAAAAGCCGTTTTCACGGCTACCCAGAGAGTTCACAAAAAGAGCATAAAAGCCTCAAGTGTAAAAAATGTGCCCACAAACATGTGTTCACGCATACACACAAGCACCATATGCCCCGTGTCTCCCACAGAGCCCAGTCTCACAGAGCGGCCACTTTCCGCTCTAGTAGCAGAAAACATAAACACGCCCATGAGCCCGTGCGCGTGTCCCTCCTCTGCTCGCTCTGTCTCACGGCCCAAAAACTCCTCTCTGAGTGTAAGTCCCGTTGCCACACACACTCTAAGCACGCCCACACACAGTGTTCAGCCCGCTATGTGTAGCAATCAGGGCGAAACTGCCATTCATACGCTAGCCGCATGCTGCGAAGCGTGGGAAGCCATCCCCGGCATCTCCCCGTGGGTTTTAAGCATCATAAAAAATGGCTATTTATTACAGTTTCGTCGCCGCCCGCCCCGCTTGCGCGTTCGGCTCGAATCGACTGCCAGTCCAGCTGCGATGAACACGCTCCGCTCAGAGATAGCGAAGCTGCTGCAGAAGGGCGCAATAGAGAGAGTTCCGCCATCTATGACCGAGTCGGGGTTTTACGGCCGTTACTTTCTTGTTCCCAAGAAAGACGGCGGCCTCAGGCCGATCTTAGATCTCAGGGTTTTGAACAAAGCGCTCATGAAGAGACCGTTCAAAATGCTCACAGTCAGAAAACTCCTCACGCACGTCCGCCAGGGGGACTGGTTCATCTCTCTAGACCTGAAAGACGCCTATTTTCAGATCCAGATAAATCCTCGTCACAGGCCATTCCTACGTTTCGCCTTCGAAGGTCAGGTTTAGCAATATGCCGTTCTCCCGTTCGGCCTATCCTTAGCACCCCGTACGTTCACGAAGTGCATGGATACAGCGCTCGCCCCCATGTGGAGTCAGGGGCTGCGCATTTTAAACTATCTGGACGACGGAGCTTCTGTCGCACCGCGCAGTTCTCCTCAACTGGGACTCTCTGTCAACTGGACAAAGAGCTCTCTCCAGCCCAGTCAAACTATTTCATTCCTTGGAATAGATTTGAACTCAGTCACGATGAAGGCTCGCTTATCCGCACAGCGCGCGCGCCGTGTTCAGCGTCTAGCCGCCTCCTTTCGGATGGGTACCCACACACCCCTGAAATCCTTTCAGAGGATGCTGGGTTATATGGCCTCAGCCTCCGCTGTGCTACAGCTGGGTCTCCTTCACATGCGCCCCCTTCAACTCTGGTTAAAGAGCCGCGTACCCCACCGCGAGTGGACTACGGGCCGCCAGATTATCAAGGTTACACAGACATGTATCACTGCACTGCAGCCATGGGCAGTAACCGAGTGGTTTCAGAGGGGCGTTACCATGGGAACCTTTTCTCGCCGAAAAGTGATCTCGACGGACGCATCCAACACGGGTTGGGGTGCGGTCTGCGAGGGCTCACCGGCCGCTGGCCAGTGATCGAGCCAGGAGAGTTCCCTACACATAAACTGTCTGGAGATGATAGCGGTCGAGAACGCGCTGCGGCGTTTCCTCCCGCGCATACACGGTCACCACGTCCTGATTCGCTCAGACAATACGGCCGTGGTATCTTACATCAACCGTCAGGGCGGGGTCAGATCCAAGAATCTCTTTCATCTGACGCGCCGCATCCTATTGTGGTCCCAGAGTCACCTGCTCTCGCTCAGAGCGACGAACGTACCGGGCCATCTGAACGACGGTCCAGACATGCTGTCCAGGAACCTTGTCTCCCCCAGAGAATGGTCCCTGCACACTCAAACAGTTCAAACATTGTGGCGCCTATTCGGCAGAGCGGAGATAGATCTTTTCGCGTCAGAAGAGAACGCTCACTGCCCGATATTCTTTTCAAAGAGCGAGGACGCGTTATCCCAGGATTGGCCCCGCCGCCCGCTCTATGCCTTTCCCCCGATTTCTCTGCTACCGCAGGTCATTCAGAGAATCAGGGACACACGCCACTCGGTGCTCCTCATAGCCCCGCGCTGGGAGAATCAGATTTGGTTCCCGGAGCTTACGCAGCTGTCACGGACAGCCCCGTGGCCCATTCCAATCAGAGCAGATCTCCTCACTCAAGCTCGCGGCTCGATCTGGCATCCCCATCCACAGCGCTGGGCGCTTCATGCATGGGTGACCAACGACTACTCGTCGAATTGCCAGAAGGAGTTCTGAACACGATCAAACATGCCAGAGCGGAATCTACTAGAAAGCTCTATGCTGCAAAATGGTCTGTGTTTTCTAGATGGTGCACCGACAAAAACTTGGACCCACGGACGTGCGAGGTTTTGTCTTTGCTCGTGTTCCTTCAGGAGATGCTGGATAAGGGCAGGTCCCCATCCACTCTAAAGGTTTACATGGCAGCCGTCGCGGCGTTCGTTGAACCCCGGCGCGCCCAGTCTTTGGGCAAAGACGAGCTAATTATCCGCTTCCTCAGGGGAGCCAGAAGGATGAACCCCCCTCGCCCCCCCACGGTACCGGTCTGGGATCTTTCTATAGTCCTAGAAGCTTTGAAAGCTCCACCGTTTGAACCACTCGAGTCCGTGGAGCTAAAATACCTCTCGCTAAAAACCGTCTTTCTGACTGCCCTCGCCTCAGTAAAACGCGTGGGGGACATTCACGCGCTGTCTTCTAGCGCCGCGTGCCTTGAGTTTGGACCTAATGACTCCATTGTCATTCTGAAACCTAGACACGGTTATGTCCCAAAAGCGATTGGTACCCCCTTCAGGGCGCAAGTGATCTCTCTATCGGCGCTGCCTGCATCCGATAGCGAACGTGACACAGA